AACTTCGGGTGGACCTTACTTTCAGGTTTGGGTGAAAAATGCCTTTTGGCAACTAGACTAATATTACCAGCTGTTATGTTAAGCAACCTATTTTATGCCAAAAGCTAGTTTAGAATCTTAGCGTCGGCTGCTATACTTTTTTAAAATTAAAACTTAATTTCTAAAAAACTGGGACCCTAAACTAAAATTATGGCTTCGACATTCCCTAGTTCTCAAAATTATCTTTCTTTCAACACAAAAATCATGAAAATCCGTCAAGTGGTTGATTCAGAATCGTGAAATAAAAAAACACTGTTTCGTTTTAATATTATAGACTAGCTGTAACCCGCGGGCTTTGCCCCGTTTAACTTCTTAATTTTCAAGATGATCTCGTTCGCATGGCTCAATCACGTCCTGGTTGAAGTTTGTTCGCTACGCTCACTCACCTTTAGGTTTGAGCTCGTTCGCTGCGCTCACTTGCCTTCAGGTTAGCTCGTTCGCTACGCTCACTTGCCTTCAGGTTAGCTCGTTCGCTACGCTAACTCGCCTCCAGGTTGAAGTTCGTTCGCTACGCTCACTCACCTTTTGGTTGCAAATTAGCTGTTGTCATAAATGTAAAAGAAATAATAGTGCTGCACCCTGTTGCTAATCCTTGTAACTTTAATGCTATTGAACATCATAGAACAGAACCAACTTGTTTAATTGAAACAGCTGTTAAGATTCATTAATTCCATTTCTCATAAGGTTAACATGGGAAACTCCAGAGCCACTGGGGCGGAGCCGATTGGACGGATCACGAAATTGATGGTGTATAAACCTATTCCATGACATTCTACACGTATGTACCAAGTTTCGTGGCAATCGGTTCAGCGGTGTCTGAGTTTATCACTGCCAAACAAACAAACAAATATATATACAAACATCCTCTTTTATACTTATAATAGATAGATGGACTAGCTGGCCCGACAGACGTCGTCCTGTCCTAATGTGGTTTGATGTCAATGCTCGTTCATTTTCAAGATGAGCTCGTTTGCATGGCTCAATCCATCCTCAATCCCGTCCTGGTTGAAGTTCGTTCGCTACGCTCACTCACCTTTAGGTTGGAGCGGAGCTCGTTCGTTGCGCTCACTTACCTTTAGGTTAGCTCGTTCGCTACGCTAGCTCGCCTCCAGGTTGAAGTTCGTTCGCTAAGCTCACTCACCTTTTGGTTGCAAATTAGCTGTTGTCATAAATTTATAAAAATAATAGTGCTGCACCCTGTTGGTAAACCTATTAACTTTATAATGCTATTGAACATCACAAAAACAAATTGTTTAGTTAAACCGTTAAACCAGCTGTTAAGATTCTTCAATTCCATTTAAATATCAATACTCATAAGGTTAACATGGGAAACTCCAAAGCCTCTAGCACAAACTATGATATCTTGTTCACCTGAATTACAAATATACCTTTTTCATATTGTGCTACTGTTTTTGGCTCTCAAAGTTACTTAGTTAAGGAAACTAGGCCTACTGGATTTGAGGGGATTAATTAAATCTATAGTAATTTTCACACCGCATTTGTATTGCAACAATTTTAGTAGGCCAATTGAACCATCTTAATCAATATCATATTGAAACATTTTATTTTTTCTATTTAAAATGTTAAGCTACTAAGCATTTTTCTAGATATTTTTTTGTTTATAATTTAATATCTCCTCCCTCAGTTTAGTACCAAGCTGCCATTAATTAAATCATGAATGAAAGATATTCAAAATTTGTCTATGGATATACAGTAAAAGGGCTAATTGTATTGAACATATAAAAATATAGTTGCTTATAGGATATGTCTAAATTATTAAGGCTCAAACAACATACGGTGCTAAAACAATCTATATATTAATAGGCAAGCGTGTTTCTTTAACACCTTTTTTCTCAGCTCGTTTGCACCACAGGGAGAATCTACGAGTACTGTTGGAAAGATATTTTCCTGTAGATGTGCAGAATCCCTTCATAAATTAAAATAGGCTAAAAAATAAGCACAAAAATTGAATTTAAAATCTTTAAAACATTAACATGGACCTTATGGGTTACCTTGTTATTGGTGACGAAATAACAACGCAATATAAACAGAAAATCAAAACAAATGGAAGAAACTCCAATCACATGTTTTATTTACAGTGTAGGGTGGAAATAGATAAGTCTGTTGTACATTACATATTTTTGGTCTAGTTTTCGACCACTGGACGACTTCTAGTTACTATTATTAGCCTAGAGCTTATAAGGACTTTCAAATGTAGCTTTTTGGAAACATAGAAAGAGTCATTCTATGACGCAACAACGTAATTTTAACAAGCTTTTTTGACGTTTATTTAACTTATACATTCACAGTTATTAATCATGAGTAGGAGGAACATTCAAAGTCACGATTTTGACGAATTTATCAAATATAAATTTGCCTAACTTGATTACGATGAAGTCTTGTATGCAAGAATATTTTGTGGACCTACCTTACCTTACGTGGACCAACTTCTGTTATGTACCGACATCTCTTTCTTCATGCAGAGTATATCCCTTAACTAATTAAGAAACAGATATTGCACATTTCCTTTAACTATTTATTAAATCACGAGCCAAACTGCTCTTTAAAAAAATGTGTTAGTCTTTCTGAACAAACCACATGTCATTTCATCATACAAAGGTAAAATAAGTTAATACGTGGAAAGACAATGGGAGTTTAGTGCGTATGCTGATTCATCTAAACTAAATATTAGTACATAATCTTCTGTATTGTTTAGCTAACATCAATGTTAAATATTATCTAAAATATTAAACTATGTAACAACTATCAACAAGCTAGAACTGCTCAAAAGATGGTTATGTCTGTGATTGCTAGATTTAAGACAGAGGAATTTACCTGCGTAAAAACTGACTTACCTCAAATTACCATTGCTAAATTGGTCATTTACCAATACCTAGTAAGAAATTAGGAACTTTTCGACAAATTGAGGAAGTTTTTGAATGTCCATTTCTCAACTATGATCGCGAGGTACTTAGAGGACAAAAAGGTCTCACTGATCACTAAATATGAAATTAAAGGGACATAATGATACCCTACCACTTTAACCTGTTAAGATGTAAAACACTACTTAACTTTTATGCCTTGATTTGAAGGGAATTTAATCAAATTGTATTTAATGAAGTTGGTAACACCTAAACACAGCTGATTGACAACAATACATTTATGATTCAAAATTATGAGTTTACAACAGAAATCACAGTGTGTTTTGTGGTATCACGATACCCAATTCTATATAGCAGTTCATAGAACGAGTTTAATTGGGAAGGCTAACAGTCACAATTGTAGAATTTGGGGGAGTGAAAACCCCCAGGATCGTGATTGAAAAAGTAACAGTCAAACTTCATACATCCTTCCCAGGTTATATCCTTACCACAGACGGATATTTCATACAAATGACCAAATCACTTGAAGGTTATAGAGCAGGTCTTGACCACAGGTTATCTAAAAATGATTTAAGCATGTCCATACACTTGTAGATGAAACCAATATGAATAAATCCATCCTAGTGTCTGTCTGTGTATGCCAGGGTAAATTACTTAACACTACCCATCTCAAGCACAGACGGGCACTTGAAGGATATCACTAGGACCAGGGAAGATCCACGTTGGAGACCCTTGCCCTCATTAAACAGGCTTATGGGGATAATGCTTTAAGACGCATAAGAGTTTTTGATATGCACCAAATGTTTAAGGAAGGCCGGTAACTCGTCAAAGATGACTAAGATGAGTACTTCGACCGCTCTATCCGAGGCTCGCGTGATCAAAGTAAAAGAAGTTTTGGTTTCTGACATGCACCTAACCATCGCCCACACCAGTGAGAAGACAGGCCTTTCATTGGGAACCATCCACACTATCGTAACGGAGAATTTGGCGTTGGCAATGAGAAGAGTCCACGCAAAGCCGCCGAAAGTCCTGAGCGAGGAACAAAAACTGTCAAGGGTGGAGAATTTGCAAGAAATTTTGAGGTGCGCCCAGCAAGAGTCAAATTTTTTGTACAACCTTATTACTTGGTTATAAACACAGATTTTCCGAGTTTAAAACAAAACTTCACAGCGTTCCTTGACGACAGCTCTATGTTGACGACACAATGAAAAAACACTCGGCGGTAATATCAACCTCCTGTCCCAACAGATGCCGTAGGCGACTAAACCAATTACCAAACTGCTCCTGAATGGTGAAGGACCCTTCTATCGAACCCAACCTGTCGCACCCCCCTGCACTGCTCTTTTGAGGCTACAGTGAACCAGTCCCGATACTTATTGAATGGACTGTATAATATTTAACAGATTTAAGATATCTATACTGCGTTCACACTATACACTTCATATAAATTCATTACAGTATACTTTTCTGCTAACAGTATTAAAATAATATAACACAACCAAACACCAACCCCATTGTCTTATGATCTCTATAAACCTACAAAGCTTACAGGTTTATTCGCCTTTATAATTAAATCAACAACTTAAATTTAAATAATCATCAGTATGTTATGCTAAATTAAAAATTGTTAAAATACCCATATCTCCTTTTCCCACACAAGTAAGTAGCCTTATTGTTTTATATGAAGTCTGGCCTATGAAATGAGCAGAGTGAGCTGATTTTAAAATCCTTTTTAACAAATCTACAGGTTCACAACATATTCAATCAGTTTTGAACAAAAATGTATAAGACATTAACAGATTCTCTTCTCTCTTTAAATCTGACTATAAGTTCTTTTATTATTAAATAATTATCATTGTCCTTGTCATTCAGATAATATGTATGAACTTTGAACGTTATCAGGATTTAGTTAAATGCATTTTATATAGTTTTGAAACTTTTGCTTAGACTACTATATTTCTATCCTTATTTAGCAGCTACAAGTGTTCTGATTCTGTGAGTTATAATAACATATGTTTCATATCACCTCAGTGGAATGTAGGTTTGGTATGACTTATTTTGATACAAACTTTTTTTCAGATAAAGGATGCAGCGTACCATGAAGTTCTTCAGCCTTCGTGATTGATTTATTCATGTGTATGAATTTATACTACTATTTGTGAAACTGTTGATTTTATAGTCCAAGGTTAATGTGTGTGATTTTCAAAATATACTATGAACCTATTAACTAGATATTCAAATGAAATATTGCCATTGAATGCAAGCAAAATGTTGAGAAATAAAAAAAAGTTGTATTGTTTATTATCAGTATTTTTTTAACTATTATTGTATTTTCTTATTAAACTTACTAACAAAATTAATATTGTATTAGTTGTAAACCCTTCATCCTATCTACAAATGTTGGTAACCAACCGAAAATGGTATTAATTTTCATCCCTAATTCGCCCTTTTATAAAAATTATATGTTCCCTTAATTTATTCTGGTTGTTTTTTAAATCGCCGTTTTAAGTTTTTAATGGGACAAAACTAAATAGAATCAACTTCTAAATCCCTTGATCGTAACACCTGATGAATGCAACCCTGTAAAGATATGTACCGGTATTGAAAATTAAGATGGTTAAGCTGTGTCTTTGTCAATCAAGGCTTTTTAAGTTGTTCTTGGCTTGTTATGTTTCATGCTATGTTTTTTTATTTTTTTTATTTTATGCTGTTATGTTGCTTGCATGTTTTTTAAAATGGCAACCACAAAGAAGAAAACACATTTTTAAGAGCACAAAACTGCCATGTTCTTCGCCGCAGTCAAACCATCTTCTTGGTATTTTTTTACAATCACACATTCAAATGAGTGTAAAATCAACTAGGGAGGAAAAATAAAACCTAAAGAAGGTTTGTTTAACTGTTTATTGATAACTTGTCTTCATGTTAAGGTATGTGAACGGCGTAATTTGACACATGAGATTGATACTGAAAGACGAGGTATTTTACAATACAATACCTATACAATACAAGACAAGGTATCTTACAATACAATACAATGTTAGTGGAAGTTGCAGACACAGTCATTTTTAAGTGATAAAAACATGAATGACAAATGTATTGATTAGTTATTTTCAAAAAGTAGCAACATTTTATGCTAAGTTTTAATTATTTTTTCAAGTTTCATTAAGTTAACTTTATCAGATTTATGAAATGATTATTCTTTTAAGTACAATGGTAAAATTTGGTTAAAAATGTAAATGAATTACACAACCTTAACGATTACAATTAAATGTAAAATATTAAATATACTACAGAGAAAAACTAATCACATTTTCTAATTGTGTTCCACTAAATGAATCAAATACATTCCAGAGATCAAATGTATATATTAAAGATGTTAAAAGTTACTTTTGATTTGGGCAAAATATAAAATATCAGGATAATAAATAAAATCAGCAGGCAGGGGATAATTAAAGTTTAGTATGTATCTTGGTTTTTACAGAGAATAATGTTCATAAATATAATACTTGTGAGCCAACAGCTTTGCATTAATATTAAAATATTATGGACGGCTTATTTTGAATGCTATCAGTTTGGTTTCATCAACCTATAAAATCCGGTGGTGAACTTTCACCGATTTAAATATTAGTTCTATACGAAAATTATTACACTATCTCAGAAATAACCATATCTTATGAAATATTTTGAAAGCAAATAAGAAATATAGGCTATATTATAACTAATTTTTAAAAGGCAATGGAATATTATAGCCATTGACATTTGCCATTCACGGTACTTTATTAATTCCACTGACAAAAAGTGCTGTAAGCTATGTCTAAGTCGGACATTCAGGAAATGCATTCGTTAACAAGAGTTCACAGATATAGACAACTTTTCAAGACCAATGCTCTTAACATTGACATAGTTGATTGATCATTCAAACTTCTCTTTATTACAAAATAAAGATATTCATATATATCAACAGATAAATAGCTTAGCTAACATACTTAATTACTTATATAAATATCAACACTTACACATTCTGTATCTTGTAGTCCGGACAAACATAAAAGAATTAATACAGTTAAAACTGTTATTTCATTTTTTAAGAAGATTCTCCTAAGTTAAAATAGAAATGAATCATGCAAGACTACTAGAAAATAAACCCAGTGTCATTGCAGAATAAGCAGGAAAACAGCTAGCTTACCTAGAAGAAGTGTAGGTAGACCATAGAACACAAAGACATAGGTACCCATTTTGTAAACTTAATCACTTTTTCTACACTTGACTAAGCCCTCCAGGGGACGAAAAATTGTGTATTGAGTGTCTCTTCTGTGTGTTCTGTAGCCTACATACACTTCTTCTAGACAAGCTAGCTGCTCCTCCTTATTCTAAAATTCAAAATCCTGGCCTAGAGACTTTCCTGGAACAAAACTAAGCCCAGAGTCAAATGTTTTCATTAAGGAATGCTTCTGATCAAGAACCAATCATTTAATTGTTTATTGTTAAAGCCATTTCAATTTCACATTATAAACCCAATAGAAATAAAAGTACGGTATACAATTCAATTCAGACTCAATTTACAGGTGAAATCATTAAAAGATATTAAGTATTTTAAAAAAATACCCTTTGTTGTTGTTTATAACTGAAAGGTTCAACTGTTTCACATGATATAACATTAAAAAAATATTTTATAGTACTTTTGTAAAAAAAATACAAGTTACATAAAAGTACATTTTTGTATTAGACTTTAACTAGAAATTATTTGATCAAATACTTGGATTGTTGTGATTTAAATGTATTGTTTTCAACCATAAAACTGATGAGATAAAACTTTTATATCTTTGAAACACATTTTGACACTTTGGTTTCAGTATTTTGTACAGATCTGTCTTCAATTCAATTATTAAGGAAAAGAATAACTGAAGTTTTAACATACAATTATTTTACTTAACGAAGAGACTAGTTGTATTAGGCCCTAAAAATGTTTACTTGACTATAAACAGTTAATCTAAAAAAGTAAAAACAACCAAAACCCTAAGTTCTAATGACTAGCAGTTGTGAATACATTGTGTTTCATACCAAGCTTGCTAATAACAATAACAGTAAGTGACATACACACAATGCACAATAGGCTGGTGTTTGCTAGCTGATTACAATATCTATCATACTGTGTGTAATAGATCAGCAGCGAGAGCAAAATCCATCAAAAACTATACATTTCACAACAAAACTACAATGTCACCAAACATGCATATGGCATATGTCACATACTGTAAAGCTATTCTAGTTGGTGTGATCTACACAACTAGATTATAATAACCTATAAATTACCCAAACAAATATACAAAAATAATTTCTATCAAATAAAATAAAAAAAAATAATACAGATACAAGAATAAAACTAAAAGAGATACAAGAGAATTTTAAGACATTAAAAAGTTTGAAACACTACTATCGTTCAGAACACTGAAAAAATACACATCTTGAATAATAAAAAAAACATATTTCATAGTAATATTTTCACATTATATATAATTTAATATCAGTCATGACTGCATTAAAATGAATGAACTTAAACTTTACATTTTTAAAATGTACTTAAGAAATCAATAACTATAGTGGAGTGAAGTGACTATTCTAATGTTGTTCTAAACTTTGATAAAAAGTAGACTATGATAGAGGGCAAAGTCTTTTAAAGCAAGGTTAGATTACCATCCACACATAAAATAATATTCTTGTTTATACGATGGACTTTACTTGATGTCAAAAGTAATTTATTATTAGTTCCGGTGTCTAAGGGATATGTCGGCCAAAGTCACTAACAACACTACAAGATCGCGCCACTCATCCTATACTCATCTCCATTCATACTTTGTTTAAAATAAAAACATTCGTATGATCGCCATTTCAAAGTAAAGTATTAAAGTATTAAAATACTTTTGAAAACAGAGGTTTACATTTTTCATTTTCACATTTTAATGTAAGAAATGAAATTATTGACTGTTGATTAAAAAAAAAAACAAAAAAAAAAATAACAAACACATTGAATGACTGATTCGTTTGGAACGTCTTTTAACTTAAATCATAATAATCATAATTTGTTCACAAATGGATGGTAATTTGACTTAGAGACACAGTAAGTAGCATAGGAGGGACTTTTGTAGTATAGATAGAAACTAAATTACTAACTCTTATTATATTTGGACATGAAAATATGATATTCCAAAATAAAGCTAAGAAAGTATAAATATCACATTTCCTAGTTAGCTCTCGGGGGAATGGACAAGTGAGCGTAGTACTCTTTTAACTCACAGTAGAAAAAAACAAACAATTATTACTGTCAATTATTAATATTATTTGATGAGTATTAGACTGACATATTCACACATTAAAAAATTATTAATCAAATTGATTTTTCTAAGTTTTAAGGAGTAAACTAAATAAAAAAAAATAATAGTTTGCATTTTCCTATGTTAAGTTTTGTCACAGTAAAAATATAGCTTAATTTTTTTTGAGAATGGCTTAAATGACTTTTAAAATATAATTTTGTTGAAATGAAAAAAAAAATAATTGAATGCATAACTTAACCTATTTTAACCCTTGAGAGACCAACCTCCCGATTTTTCGGAAGTTGGTGTTTTTGCTATTAACGATGAACTTCCGATATATCGGCAGTTTAAACAAACGATTATTTAACTTTTTTTTATATCTAGAACAGCATGCAAAAAATGTGATAGAGAGGTGCTATTCAAAACTTATAGTATTTTTTTTAAAACATTGCAGAAACTGTTAAAAGTACCCCGGTCCTAAGCAGCGCGTCATATACTATAGGGTTGGTCTCCAAAGGGTTAAATGTAAAAATACATCTTCACTACCTGGTTACGTATTAAATTATCGTTACCATTCTCCAACTAGCAGTGAAACTCATTGTTACCTCTAGTCATTGTAAATACATATAAATACAAGCATTCAGTAGTTTTGCTTCGAGATCTCAAAAGAAGCAAAGATTACGCTCGTCATATTTTAAAAATCTAAAATAAAACTAATATCAATTGGTTATAGAATATTCTCACTACAAACGTCTTATGTATTAGTAACTTTAGGCCGTACTTTAGGAAGGATTGACAGACTAGACTGCAGCCCAGTTGCGAGTGGCCCACAGCAAGGCGTACGTAGCAGCCTGTGTGTTGACTGTGGAGGTGCCCGTCACATCCTTGTATCTCTTGATGAGACTGCGGTAGCCTCTACCCACAGTGACTAGGACAGTCTCACCCCCTGATGGAGGCTGTAAAGCCAAGATGGCCGACACTTCCTCCTGGAAGGGCCGGAACACTGTGATTGGTCGCATGGTCGCTTGCTCTGCCACCACGATACATCCCCAGGTTGTGCCGATGTAAACCTCGGAGTCCAGCACACACAGACTGGTCACCTGACAAACACACAGTGATACAGTGACTTAATGTGTATTGTTGCTGCCTGTGCTGGCTCGGGGAGAGGTGAGTGTATGACAGTCTTAAACATAACAATGATGAATTGCCATATTCTCCTTATTTGATTGAGTGGGTTCCACAGATAAGACAATACTGATGAAGTCATATTCTGGCAGAAAATGTTTACGTGTAGGACTGGTATCATACACTTTTAATACGGTTCTAGAACAACAATGGACAACATGATACAAATAAAATTTTAGACATTTGTAATTTGTTTTGTGTTGATTGATAAGGTTTAAGTTTAATTTTGGGGTAAGTAGAAGAGAAGCTTTACTAGTTGGTTGTATTTGTAATGATAAAAAAAAATTGGTAAAAAGTTATAAAAAATTGGTGGTGTAAAATTTTACTTATCAAAAAAACTGGTGACTTTCAAGTGCTGAACAGATCATGAGAACAAAACAACTGGTTTCAAGTGGATTACCACAAGCAAACCAGTTGAGAGTGTTATTTTTGGGCTTAGTATGAGATTACATTAGATAAGGCCTTTATTGTCACGGATTATCAAGCTTCATAGAGCATTAACATCACTTAATAACCATTACCGGTAAACATTGTTTCATACTGATGATGATAGATTTCCACACTCAAACTATGATTGATTACAAAACACCAGTAAGTTTACTTATGAAAAGTATTGTCAAGACAAATTGTAAAATCATTACTAGGCCTATATCAGTCCCTCAAGCAAGAGTAAGGGTACCATAAAAAGCTTTGTAGCCTCAACAGTTTTGTTGAGTTGAAGCATTTAACGATTTAACAAAATTCATTTTGGCTTTGTTGATCATTGTATTAAGACAAGAAACATCGAACAATCATGAGGTTGATTGAATGATGGAAAAACATGATTTTTTTAAGGATATTATTGTATGAAAGTGAGATCAAACCTGACAGCGGCCTGGACTGAGATGCTCTTCTATACTGATAGACTTGAGGCTCTCAGAACACGGCACCAGCTTGGAACAGTCCAGCTTGTTAACTATAGCTCTGGTTGCAGGGTCCCATTGGTAAACAACACACCCTGAAACACAACATAATACCCTTATACTTGAGGCTCTCAGAACACGGCACCAGCTTGGAACAGTCCAGCTTGTTAACTATAGCTCTGGTTGCAGGGTCCCATTGGTAAACAACACACCCTGAAACACAACATAATACCCTTATACTTGAAGCTCTCAGAACACGGCACCAGCTTGGAACAGTCCAGCTTGTTAACTATAGCTCTGGTTGCAGGGTCCCATTGGTAAACAACACACCCTGAAACACAACACAATACCCTTATACTTGAGGCTCTCAGAACACGGCACCAGCTTGGAACAGTCCAGCTTGTTAACTATAGCTCTGGTTGCAGGGTCCCATTGGTAAACAACACACCCTGAAACACAACACAATACCCTTATACTGATTGACTCGGACTGATCAAAATGAAGTGGCAGTGCCTATACCTTTAACAACACCTAGAGAGTTTTGATGGATGATAATTACGGAAAGTAAATAAAATAAACGTCTTAACACTTAAAACATATATTTACACTTATACTGTTACTCACAAGACGGTAAATATACAAAAAAGATGGTAAGTGTTCGCTTATGGGGTCTGATGATGATTGGAGTGTCCAATCGAAATCGATCACCACTTACCATCTTTTTTGTATATTTACCGTTCTGTGAGTAACAGTATAAGCGTAAATATATGTTTTAAGTGTTATAAGACGTTTCTTTATTTACTTTCTGAAAATTTAATAACACGTACAATGCTGATCAAGAAGTTATTTGGTTGATAATTATTAAAAACTTGAGAAAAAATCAAAATCAAACCTCATTATTTAATTTTTGTAGATTTAAATTAGCTTACAGTAGACTCCCTCTTATCCAGACGCCTTTTAACCGGACTAAACTCGGCGGAAATGACATCGGTTTAACCGGACTAGATTGGCAGGAAGTGGGCGGTACTGAAACGACTGTTCTCGTGGGAAAGATTTGGGACCAGTGATCGCGTGTCTAAATACAATGCTCTCCTAATAAGAGGGAGTCTACTGTATGTAGATTCTTAAACATGTTTGATACTGTTAACAGTAGAATAGAAATAAGAATAAGTATAAATTAGGTGTGACATGCATTTAAAAATGTCATCTTTCTTTCCATGATAATCATAATTATTAATTATATCAGTAATCAAGATCATGAACATCCCCCCCCCCCCCCCCCGATCGTGGGAACATTATGTTTAGTCTCCTGCCATCGAGATAAAATCATGACTTTCCCATTGTGTAACCTTTGCAGACGCTTTCAGCGATCACAATAATATCCCAGAAAGACAAGCTTTTGGTTCAGTTTGAAAATTAAGATTCTAAAAAGTACTAACGCAACATTCTAAATATGAGCCTAATTCTCTTAAAAGAAATTTTTTACAAAACAATCTCTTAAAGCCAAGAACAGTATATTGCTAAAAGATAACACTGTTATAGCTAAAACAGCAAATAAAAATAACCACAAGACATATTTTTGTGTATTAATAATTTTAATTCGTAGCATTATTAGCAGCAACAGGGACAATAACATACCAGGGTAGACGTAGGTCCACACGGAGGCTGGCCAGTCCCTGTAGTGGACAGGAGCGTGAGATGACACCACCTGTAGCACGTCCACGTTGGCGATGACTGGCTCATAGTGGTTCAGCAACTCATGTCCTGTCACCACGTTGTCCTTCATGGCGTAGATAGACAATGCTCCGTGGCTCTCCCCACACCACAACTCACACTCACTGTCACAAATAAAACTACTGTAGCAGAAAAAGTGAGCGGGCTTTAGTCTCCGAGGTCCAAAGTTCAAATCCCGTTAATCACCCATGTAATAATACTGGTTCTCTAGAACTAGGTCCCAATTTTGGGCTAGAGCCTAAGTGTCCTAGGATGTAATCGAAGGAAATAGATCTACAACAGAATCTGACCTTCTGTGTAGTTAGGATTGTCTATGGTACAGTTGAACCTCTATAAGACGAATTTCAAGAGGTACGGGAAAAAATCGTACTATAGAGGTATTCTTAATAAAGAGGGTCGTTTTATCGAGGTTTAATGCTGCTGTTATTCTTCTTATAGAGGTTTCTCCTCGCTCCAAGGTTTCTCCAAACAATGACTGAGGAAGGAGGAGGGATGGGTGGGGGTTTCATGTTGAGACAAGCTTCTGTTTGTTTTGAAAACTACGTACTATGGAGGTTAAGATTATGATAAATTCGTCTTATAGAGGTCACGTTAGTCTTGTAGAGGTTTTGTGCTAAGAATATTCGTTGTATAGAGGTTAATCAGTCCTAGCCCATGTCACAAACAAATTCGTCTTATGGAGGTTTTTAACTTAATTACAACGTTGTATAGAGGTGTTTTTAGCATTGACCTATATGAAAGTGTCAAGGGGATTTAAAAAATTCGTCTTATCGAGGAATTCGTTTTATCGAGGTTCGTACAAACGAGGTTCAACTGTAATGCTTTTCTTAAAAGGTGGGAATAGTGATTTTACAAAATTTCTTCCATGCATGTAGGGCGTGGCAATGAGAGTGCCACAATTTTTTAATAGTATGAATTTAATACAATTTAGCCTACCCTATACATATAAATAGCACATCAAAACATAGCTTATCTTATGCCATTTTAACTCAATCGGGACATTTTCCCATTTCTTGGTTTGTTAAGTGAGTCCTTATCCTATTTTACGTTAGTTTAGCCACTTGAAAATTCCATCGAATACTTGCCCCAGGATTTCTTCAGGAATCGCTTAAGTTTCCTGAAAAATCCTCAGCTTAGGTCAAGCAAATCTTTGGGGCGACTTTGAAAAACCTTAAAGAAAACCCAAAACCCAAAGAAAGAAAAGACCCAATGGTAAGCTTCCAACAACAGAGGCTTCCTAGTTCCTGGCAAACCTCTTTGGACTTTTGAGTTACTGCAATTTGCACTCTTTCTTCCACATTTACAGGTGTATGAAGGGCTTGGCAGATTCCACCGATTATTTTTACAATTTAGGCTGTTATTTTTAAAACGTTAACCCAGTTCCCTATCATTTTCTGATCTGAAACAGTGCCATGTAACCAGCGATGAAATGTGGTCCAAACAACTTCTGAGTGTTTGCAAAAGAATTACTATTCTTAAGGTTTCAACAGCAAAATCAAAGTTTTAACAACCCATTAGCACCATGTTAACTAAAGTGGAATAGTTTAATTGAGATTATTAGCACAGCTGTTCATTCATTGTTGCACTTCCTATCATGTGACAGTAAAAGAAAATTGGGATGCTCCTCATTGCCTCGCCCTGTATCCTAACAATCCTAACAACATGTTCAGCAAACTCTTAAGGAATGATTTGACTCTCATTTCCATAAAAACAATCCTGGATGTTGAAAGAATGCTAAAAATTCCCTAAACCGTGTTGTTTTTTTTTTTACTTTTTGAGTGCTATCACCTCCTTGGAACTCTGCTTAGTGAGTTAGCCTGGTTTTAAAATAATTCAAACATATGTTAATTTATAAACAAACATTATAAATCATTGTTTATTTACCTAATATGTTGTTACCAGAGGCTGAGGATGGTTTTTGATAAAAAATCGAAATATACCACTTTTTTTAGTAATTGTGTATAATTTAGTAATGAGTAAACGACAAACCAAGGATAATAATGATAATTCCATCACAAAAAAAAAACATACCGGAATGAATGAGTTAGAGTAGTTGAATCTTAACCTTCCTTCTTAAAGTATAATAGGGTTTATGGTAGAATTATTTTGTAACGGGTTTTTGTAAATTTATTTGTAACAATTTTAGGCTATAATCTTGGATTTGTTTTCATATTAAGTGGTCGCCGCACACCATGTTTTGGACTGCTCAGATGGAAATCTATACTTGCCGAAAGAAGGAAAAAAAATTTGACCTGTAAGGGTTAATAAGAATAATGAATTTAAATCACAAGAAAATATCTAAGCACAACTGAATATTTCTTTTTAATATAAGCACCTTCCATCGTCACTGCAGTACACAGCAGTGATGGCGTGGAGCACAGTGCTGCTACCTAGCTCAGTCATGACAAAGCTACCTTCAGCTGAGGTGTGGGAGGGGGGAGATGAGTCACTGCAGACCAAGAACACACGGCCATTGCTCAGCCCGACTGCTACACGAGCCTGACAAACAAAAAATGTATGGTTAGACATTTGTACCATTGTGCCTATATATGGTGCATTGGATAGAGGCACCATGTATTGATCAGCCCAATTATTGATCAGCGAAACAACGGCCGATCCTTTATTACTGCCGCCCGACCGAGTTTAATCTAAAGGGAATTAGGAAGCCCAGTAATGTTAAGTATTTTTTTTTAAATATTATAAATACAAATAAAATGATTCAATATCACGGTTTAACTAATAATCTCTGTTAATTTGATACCTGTTAAACGGCTCTCAACTGATGCTACTTTGGTAGGTCTATATTGCATTTTGGGTTTTTAATTCTACAACTTGTTTAATCTATTAGTATTATTACCTAAACAGTTTAGTGTTGCCCTGCATGTCATTTACAGCTAAGTGATTTAACCTAATTAAGTTGTTCCAAATTGTTGTTAATTTGTCTCCAACCTGTTCCATATATACCAATTCTTAAATCACCTTTCTCCACAGCCATTTCTGATCTGGAGCTTTCTACATAAATTAGGCTAGTGACTTGAGCTCTGGTTAGATCAAGTGACTACTTATGTCTAATATCATAGTTAATTTAAGGCTCGGACAGCAATTGACAATTGATAGTTTAGAGTACAAAGTTGGTAATTTATTGACAAAATTAAGAATATTATCAACTTCGATTGACGAACTAAAGCTTCATTTCACCAACCTAATAAAATAAAACAAAAACAATGTTGGAGAATAGTAAAAGATTTCTTCTTATAATTGTACACTATTTCAAGGAAGCGGAAAAACTGAGCTTACAAAGAGATATTAGAGAACAAGTAACATCTGCATTATGGACAGTACTGTACAATACAAGAGATCTCACCTGATTGCTAAGGTAGAGCAGAGAACACACCCTAACTGTGTCCGCAGGGTCCAGAGTGTAGCTAAACACATGGCTGCAGTCTCCCGCCCTGCACAAGTAACAAACATTCATGTATCAGGTAGGGCAAAGACCAAACACAAATGTTAAACGATGAAGTTGCCAGAGAGTGATGCATGATTGAGACCCCTTAACCAGATATTGCTAGAAAATATCCTCTGAAAAAGTAAGCCGTTGGCATGAGCCATAAAACCGTGTTTCATCAGTCTGTGTGTGACATAACATAAGATACCAACATACATGCAAAACCACAGCTACCCCCTCAGATTTAGAAGCCTTTTCAGTGATAAAACAGCGGTCTCCAACTGCTCCAAACTGAAGAGTAGGACGTCGTTCACCCTTCAAAAATCACACATTGGATGCAGCAAGTGAGCTGGGAAAAAGGGCTAGAATATGCTTCCTAAAATTTACAATTCCATTAAAACTTGAGCCAGAGCATTGTCCTGCATGGGACTGTCTGGGATAACTGGGAACGGATACACCCTTCGGGACCAAGCCCTTACCCTGATTCCTCACAGCCTGACCTCTGTTGGCCTAGTATCTGAAATCCTATCACATCAGGGATTGCCCGCGGCAGAGCTGGACTTCTGAACACATGCTGCACTCTGTGACTAGAGCCCAAAGAGGCTGGTTCCTGACGACGTGCCAAAGAATTCCATCAGAAGCGCGAGCCACTCTGCACTATAAGAACATTCCCAGGGTTTAATTGTGCCCACCAGTGAAAAAGGAGGAATACATAATAAATATTGAAATGGGGTTGAAAGTAGGAAAATAAAAGGAAAGACAAAAGATTTTGAGAACCAAGCCATAGATACGAAGGGAACTTGGCCTCAACGAAAGATAAGGATCTCCCAACCCCTGATAGTCGCCTCTTACCATATGCCGGGGAAGACTGTGGTCCTATTCTAACCCGAGATTCACCTCAAGTAAATTATTTGAAGTATGCCTAAATCATACCTAAAGACATGAATAGTCCCAGCATTGTCGCCAAGCCACACACAGTTGTCTACGAGACAAGCAGCAGTCGGGCATTCAGGAAGGGACAGTGTAGAGTACTGTACACAAGTGTGGCCACTGACAACCAACTGGTCTGTACGAGAGTTGCCACAGGCTAGCCACAGCTCTCCTCCGACACCTCCCTCCTCTGTAACAGTATAACATTAAGTAGACTATCACCTATGATGAGCACTTTATTGCTCTTAGCTCCCGGAATTCCAGTAAAACTTTCAATCAGTAAAAAAGAGTGATAACAATTACTTTGCCATTGCTTACAGATTTTGTAAATTTGCAGATCCTTGTAGCTGCACTTTTTTAAATATTAAAATATATTGACACTGTGTTGTTGTTTTACTACCAATCAACAAATTTAGGTTTAGGTTGATGATTGTTTTTGAGTCATTACAAATTACATACCTAAAAAAAAAAAAAAAAATTATTTCAAACTATGGGTCTGTGGGCCAGAATTTTTATCTTCGAGTGAGGTTGAATAAACAACTTATGGGGTCTCGGGCTGCTCAAAAATTGAGGTCATAATAAAATCAAAAATCTTCTGCAGACATGGTGAAATTATGAACATCTTTCCCTTTCATGACAAAATTGAGAGCATCTTCAGTGGTCGAGGTAAAATCATCACCGTCTCCCATGATTGTGACAAAATTGTTAACATAACCTGTGGTCGCTGTCATGTTGAACTGTCACAATCAAAATTTGTCAGTATTTGAGAACACGTCTCTTTCTGCCATTGCGAAAATAAAAGGTTGGCTCGGCTTAACCCAAACCGCTGGTCTGACCCGATCTGAAAATATCAGACCTTTATTTAAACCATTACTAAACAACAGTACCACTATAGTGTACACCACTGTAGCATACCAGTGTGTAGAAGTGGGGCGGCCACAGTGGCAGTTACAGGAGCAGAATGGTCTAGTGACACAATGTCATGGAGATGGGTGAACTCTGGGGCTGAGGCGATAGACACTATCTGGCTGGCTGAAGGTCGATCTCGTGGTTGCTGACACCAGCACAGCACCATTAGGTCCAGCATGTAGGTTGGGTACAAGGTTTCCTGCAACATTAAAATTATTAATTACCAATTGGATGCAAGATTTAGTTTTTAGGGAAAATTTCCTTCCAAGCAGTTCCCTATTTACTGTATTTTAGTTACAGTTATAATTGGCTAGAACTGTATTTTTGTTTAAAAGATTAATGGACAATGTAAGTGAACAAATTATTCTAAATTGTTATTATGCATTTTTACATTCTAACCTACAATATGATGTTCTCTTAGGCTAGGACCTGTAACTCTGTAGGAGCCAAAACCGTTTTCAAATGGCAAAGGAAAGCAGTTAGGTGCATTAGAGGAACAAAGCCCAGGGACGATTGCAGAGTAGATTTTAAGGCCTTAAAAATCCTAACCCTTCCATCTTTATACATTTGAAATATCTTATTATACGTAAAAGAGAATATAGACCAGTATAGCACCGATCTGACATACATGCACATTACACAATAAATAGCCATCATCTCAATTTACCACTTACAAGACTTACACTTACACACAATAGCTACAAATATCTTAGTATGAAATCTTTTAATAAATTGTCCCCTTCTGCAGTACCGGTAACAATTCCTATGACAAATTAAAAACCATCCTTGATTCATGGTTAAAATTAAAATGTTTTTACTCTGTCTGTAGATAAGTTCTTGTCCTTGGAGGTTTTAGACAAATTTTTTAAATAATTTAATATCAAGGTTCCTGTTATTTATCCAGGTCTATGTTTAATGCTTTAACGATAAGATGCCATTTGACAATGTCAATTGCTTTTCTAGAGCTGAAAACAATAAAGAGATTTGATTTGATTTACTTAAAACATGTTAAATAGATCGGTTAGTGAATTGGTAACTCAGTTTTAAAAGGATGAACTTTTTTTTATGTTTAAAATTGCACAGGTGAAATTTAATTGTTAAAAATATGTGGATCAGTAACGTTTGTGGTGCTGACCCTGTGAGTGAGAGGAGGTCGGCCACCTTCCAGGATACACTCCTTGACAGACTCATGGCTCTCAAACGGTTGATGAAGTGTGAGCAGCTCGTATATGAACATACCAAAGGAGAAACAGTCCACCTGCAGACAGAGTAGATTGAGATAAGAATAATTACAAAAATATTTACCTTGCGCTTGCACAGTGTACACATTGTGTAGAAATATTCTCCTCTATTATATACTGTGAGATTGATTGTGACAAAGGTAAAAATCTTCTGCCATAGATTCTACTCTGAAATATTTTGTTTTTAACAGAACTGTGGTGTTCCACATCCAATAACACACGTAAAAAACTCATAAAAATGTACCTATTACTAACCTATCTATTTTACACAATGATTCTACCAATTCTACATATTCTACCAAGATTGTGCATATTTGTCCTATATGAAAGTTGTAAAAGGTATCAATTAGTTATGGTATGGATAGATCTATATAACCAATATTTACCTTTTCTGTGTATTCTTCTTCACCATTATATCTCATGATTTCCGGAGCCATGAATCCCTCTGTCCCTCCAAACCCTTTGGTGCCAGAAGGTAAGGTCAGTCGGCTGATACCATAGTCTGCCAGCTTGATGTGTACAGGCACCTCCATGTGATCGTGGAAGGGAGGAGGAATAGACCACACCAACACATTCTCACTCTTCAGGTCTCTGTAGATGATATGCTGCTGATGAAGATACTCTATTGCCTTCGCCGTCTGTAACAAGTGTTTTAAGCATATTAAACTTTACCTAGACCTACTGTACAGACTTTCAGATAATACAGTAGCCATTTTATCCAATAAACACTTTGTCAGTCATTCAAAGTATATTTAGGGTCAATTCAAATGCGTTCCTAATCTAATGAATTTAAGACTCTTATAAAACTAGTTTTATCTTGTGTACAATACGAGGCATGTTTTTTAAGTAAGTACGGTTTTTAAATTTCTCTGTTCTAGCGCTGCGATTGGCATTTTGGACATTTGCGCTGTGTACGTGCATCTATTGGAAATCCTGCGCCGGAAATTCGGCAACAATCGGCTGTGTTTACATCCGGTTTTGAGCATGTAAAATGGTGCCGCCAATTGAGACTGCTGCCGACTGTGAAGTGCATGCTGTAATTAGATTTTTAAATGCTAAAGGTGTGAAAGCCATTGGAATTCATTGACAGATTAGTGAAATGTATGGCGACAACATTATGAGTAAAGGAAACTCATCATATAATGATGAGATCGTAATCCGTCTATTCTCTCTCACTTTTTCATCAACTTTACGCACCAATTCAGTAATGACAGATGGCCACCCAGTGTGTTGCTCATCATGAACGTTGGTGGGGCCGTCTTTAATCCCTTACCAACTTTCGTACCATCACGTCACTAATAATGTTCTCGCCATACACTTCACTAATCTGCAGGGCCGGATTTCCCAATAGGCCCGGGCCTATGGGCGCAAGGTCCCAGAGGGCGCACGGCCGAGAGTATTTTTTTTTATACCTAGGCTATCTAAAAATAAAAAAAATAAATAGTCACAGTTGATAAAAAAAACTCCAAAGCATTGTGATTCTGAAGTTCATAAGAAGAAATAATTGTTACGAAATCTAAACTATTTTCCAGAATTACGTATCAATTTCGTTTCAAAATTGGTAACGAACATTGGTTATACGGGAGTAGGCTGTAGGGATGTTGACGTTTACGAGTGCCCAAGGAGTACGCATCGTATTGCCACTGCACTGCCACTATGCTGGTTTGGGCTCGGCACTACTGATCAGAGTGATTAGGGGCGCATGCGTGCTAGACATTGTTACTACCCTCACCTCACAAAACAAAAGTTATTAACTAATCTTTTGATTAGTTTACAACAATCTGCAGGATCAAGTTAATAAGTTGTGTTGAATATTAATACAACGATGAATTTACCATTAAAATTAACCAAAAATATTAATCTCAGTTTGCATTAGAAAAATTCAATACCCTCCAATGCACCAATAATGCTGTCATTTTCTCCTCAGACCTAAGGATCGACGGTTGGCCGGAATATTTCTCTGTTTTGCTTTGGAAATATATAACCTAGATGCAGTACGACCATAGATTAAATATAACTCAAGTCGACTTCTTATGACATTGTTAATTCAAATTTTTTTAATGTCTAGTTCATGTTGGTGACACTGGACGTTAGTTTTGACGTAATTTTGTTTCCATTATTTTAGGGTTAGTTCTATGATGTGTGTTTCAATTTCTTTTAATATAACCAGGAGACGACCTATTGTTGATGATTAGATCGTTTTATTTTAGATAAACTAGGTTTAAACCACGATTACTAGAAAAATACCGCTATGGATCATAAACATAAACAAATGACGTTGTTGGCCCGAATCCTATACTAATAGCATTGAACATATGTTTTGGCAGTTCCATTTAAGCAATGTTAAATCATGTTTTTTTCGGGCCAAAATTGTCATTTGTTTATGTTTATGATCCATACAGGTATTTTTCTAGTAATCGTGGTTTAAACATAGATCAAACATACTAGGTACTATTAAATAACAAGAATTGTTTTCAGCTAATCCAAAATGATGACAAATCTACTAAAGGAGTATGTTTAATCTATGGTATCACGTACTGTTTGGAGATCATGTTTTTTGGCCTGGAATTGGAATCAATGGCCATGTTTTTTTTTCAGGAATGCTCGGTGGGTTGAGTTGTTTTGTTTCAGTCCCACAAGCGTGAGCATTTGCCAAAAGCATAAAATTGACAAAAGTGTTTAAGACGGCATTTTGTTAAGGCTATAAACAAGTCAATTCTTAAAAAAAACTTGCAATGATTCCAACGAGGAGTGGTATTTAAGCAATAAACTTAGGTCAATGGGCATGATATAGTTTTTAATAAAGGTTTGAAGGAAAGTAACTGTGACCAGACTAGGGGGCGGAAAATTATTTGGGCCTAGGGGCGCAAAAATGCTAAATCCGGCCCTGCTAATCTGTCAATGAATTTCAATGGCTTTCACACCTTTATCTCTTAAAAATCGAATTACAGCGTGCACTTCACAGTCGGCGGCAGTCTCAATTGGCGGCACCATTTTAAATGCTCAAAACCAGATGTAAACTAGCCGATTGTTGCCGAATTTCCGGCGCAGGCTTTCCAATAGATTCACACACACAGCACAAATGTCCAAAATGCCAATCGAAGCGCTGGAACGGAGAAATTTAAAAACTGTACGTACTAAAAAAAATGCCTCGTATTCTACACGAGATAAAACTAGTTGTATAAGAGTCTTAAATTCATTAGATTAGGAACCAGGCCTATTTAAGGGGAAAGGAAGAGCCAAGGCCACACTAAAAAAACAGGCCGTAATGCTCGTCAAGCATGACGTCACGATAGAAGAGGGCAACGACGTAATGTTTGCCGTTTGTGATCAGCTGCTTGTTTTAATCTTTCCTCGGAAAATAAATAAATAAATACCTACGTCATTGCCGTCTTCTATCGTGACGTCATGCTTGATGAGCATTACTGCCTGTTTTTGTAGTGTGGCCTTGGAAGAGCCCTTGTATTGGTAATTATTAGTAATCTGTCAGAAAACCTATCTCTCTTTCTCTTTAATGGATGTGCAACTAAGACAAACAGGTAAAAACACGGAAACCTTTATTGTCTAAATTAGATTCTGTTTGAAAGCAGGAATGTTTATTTTAACATTGTGTTACATATCATAGTCACATTTAATCTATAACAATGTACTGAAAGTAGTAGTGTGCAGTAGCTAGAGTACCTGCAGTATAACAGCTTGCAGTGTGTAAGTAGGCAGCTTAGCTCCACTCCGTCTGTAGTGCCGCAGTGTTATGTCCAAAGCCCCGAGGGGTGCCAGGTCCAGTACCAGAGCCAGAGGTCGTGTACACACTCCCACCAGTGGCACTATGTGGGGATGGCGCAAGGTCAATAGGATGTTCAGCTCCTGACGTGCCGTACAGTAGGCCTTGCTGGCGTACTGCAGAGGGTCTCGGTCCCACTTGCCCTGCGCTCCCTGTAAGTGAGAGAAACACTCTGATAATATAAAATTATGTATATGAATTTGAATGGATGATTTATTTGGCTTCTTGGGACCTCAAAACAAAAAAAGGCTGGGTATTATGAGACTTACCGTAATAGCTTATTCCCTAGAGTGGGAAATTCGCTAAAAACATGTACTCAAACGATTTTGTGAACCAGCTTCATCGGGCTATAGGAACGGAGTTTTATGAGGGGTTTTGTAGAGTAAAAAATGAAAATGTGTTTTTCCCATTTTTGTTTCTTTCTGAACCGTTAATTAAGTGGAGCTAAAAAAACAAATAGAACCGCTTTTGTATGCTAAATGACTACAGAGTAAAATTTTAAAACCCATGTTATTCTTACAAAGAATAGGAAAACTCTTGTAGTCTGCTTATTTATGAATAAAATTTAATACAATTTGACAAAACTATTTATTACATGGATACCTACTAAGCTATCTACATTTCACAAAAAAACTGTATTTTATTCCCTGTAGCAGCAAACCTAAGTACTCATTAAACTTAATGTTATTTAAATAGAGAATAAATCTGAAAAACATTAAGAAAATAATTGAGTTAAAATTAGTGATGAGCCGATTCCGATTCTCGATTCCAAAATACTCTCGATTCCGCCGGAATCGAATCGAGCATTCGATTCGAATCTCCGTGGGTTTGGGATCGATTCCAACTGTCTTCGATTCTTTCATAAAATTGGTTAAAATCAGCCACAAACGTCATATAAAGCAACAAAGAAACAAAATAAATTCAGATTGCTAGTAATGATTTGCTTGCAACTCTGAGCAAACAACAAGTTCTGGTCGTATCGTCACTAAGTCAGCGAGACTAGAGCGAGCGTATTGCAAATGAAATAATAGATGCGAACTCAATACAGAGGCTTAGTACAATGAGAAACAGTTAACCGATGGGAATTGGAGATTCGGGCAAACTGGACTGGAGCGAGTAAGCATTGCGTCACAGCTCACAAGACATACAAGGAAAGGATGAGCATCGATTTAGATCAACCAGCGGTACCAAGGCTACTAACCACGAATACTAGAAAAGTAGAAAAATACTGGTATGGATCATAAACATCCATAAACAAATGACATTTTTGGCCCGAAAATAAACATTATTTCACATTGCTTAAATGGAACTGCCAAACCCAAAACATATGTTCAATGCTATTCGTATAGGATTCGGGCCAACGACGTCATTTGTTTATGTTCATGATCCATACAGGTATTTTTCTAGTATTCGTGCTACTAACTGAAGCATTGCATCGGTACAACGATGTTATCAGTAACCGATAACATCGTTGTGAAAAATCGATGTTTTTGGCCTTTGGGACTAAGACATAGATTTTTTTCTTTAATTTTTCGTCTGGTCTCTGTACTCTCCAGTAACGGAAAGCATCGATATCTCAATATACTTGGTCAAAAACATCGATGTGAAAAACAACGAAAATCGATAGAAAAAATCGGTGATGCGAAAACATCGACTATCGATGCTCATCCCTAAACAGAGCCGACTGCTGAGCTACCATTCATTACCAAAGTCTAACAAAACACTTCTATTCGTATTCGTCGCAGTGTTTCCATTCGCGGGATTATTATCCCGAAAACGGGATTTTTAGACCTTGAGCGGGATTAAAACGGGATGCGGGATAAAACGGGATTTTCGGCTGACGACTATTTTTATTTTTTTTCTACTCAATTTTAGAGAAAACTAACTCAAATTGTTTAAATACTGTAGCAAAATATATTAGTGATGATTAAACAACTTATAAAAATGATACGTAAAGTTTAATACTAGGAATTGTACCAAAAAAATCATGCGGGATAAAACGGGATTTTTCACCGATTTAAAAGCGGGATAAAACGGGATTTTTCGACCCTGTAAGCGGGATTATTTTTTTGGTCGTGTGGAAACACTGATTCGTCGGTCCGTCGGTCCCGAAACGTCACTTCACTACTGAACGAGACTAGAGCGATCGTCCTTTTTATTTAGCCTAAAAGCGACTTGGGAATATAATTTTGTACAGTGAATTGGATTGGAAGGTTTTAACAACCTATAAATGTTCAAGTGCGTGAAATTGTAAATAAACTTGTTTAGTGTTGCAATCAACGGGTAAATCTTCGAACACTGGGTATTTTAATGGCCGATAGGCAGAGTCGTCAATTTTTAAGATCAAATTAAACCCCAAAAGTAATACGTATTGAACTTGCCTTGTTTTTAGTTATCGTATCGTGATTGTTAGTTTGTGTTATTGTTAGGTTTATTTGGACTAAAAATCATGTCTAGAAGGAAGAAAAGTGAGTGTGGGACTTTTTTACAAAGGAAAATGACGAAAGCCTTTTTGCTACTTGCAATATATGCAAAAAACGACTATCAAGAGGTGGTAAGTCACATACCACATCCAACTTGTTTAAACATATTAGGACTTTTCATGCTCTCGAATTTAATAAACTTAAACATCAAAAACAGGAAAATGACCAGCTTCTAGGTTATGATGATGAAGATGTAGGCCTAGATCAACCTGGTAGGCCTAGTACTAGTCTTGGAGCATCTAGGCCTACTTTATTCAACTTTGGTATTGGTACTAGCACTAGCCAAACTTGCACAGAACCAGTTGAAATAGAGATCCCAAGTTTGACAAGTCCTAAACAAACTGCTTCGGATATTTCCGGTCCATCTAGTAGTGCAAGTGTGGTTTCCCCAAATTTTAGTACCACATCTATTACTCCACCTCAAAATTCAGAGTTAGGCCTATGTACAAAACAACCTACTCTAAGTGGCTTTATTAAGCGAAAGGCAAAATTGAGTCAAGATGATGCGAAAGCTAGGGCCATCACAAAAAAAATAGGGGAAATGATTTGCCTCGACAACCAACCGTTTAGTATTGTTGAAAACCTCGGCTTCACCCGACTCGTGAACTTTTTAGAACCTAGGTATGACATCCCAAAACGCAAGTATTTCACCACAGTTGAAGTACCTAGGCTTTATGAACAAACTAAAACAATAGTTTACAACCTGGTACAGACAGCAGAACATGTCAGTATTACTACTGACCTATGGACGTCTACCGCCAATGACGAAACTATCTAAGCGTAACATGTCATTTTGTAACTGAGGGAGAATGGAATCATATATCCCTCGAATGCATTCCATTTCCTGAAATAAGCCACTCTGCTGAATCTATAAGCAAGTTCTTAACCGAAGTCCTCAAGAAATGGAACATTTATGACAAATTGCACGTTGTTGTAAGGGATAATGGTAGGAATGTGGTAGCAGCTATGTCGTCGGGAAACTTTGAAGGCATACCATGTATAGCACATACATTACAACTAGTTGTTAAAGATGGCCTACTTAACCAAAGAGCTATTCAGAATATGAGTTCATCTTGTAGACGACTGGTTGGCCACTTCAAACATTCAGCACAAGCCTGCAAGATGCTGAAATCTGCCCAGCAAACTTTAGGCATAAAACAACACAAGCTGGTGCAGGATGAACCCACAAGGTGGAACTCCACCAAGCATATGATGGACCGCCTTTTGGAGCAAAGGCGAGCAATCATGTACATTGTGCCTGACTTAAAAAGACCAGTCGAATTAACAAACCAAGATTGGGAGCTAATGGCTAGTGTTGTAAAACTATTAAAAATTTTTGATGATGCTACTTTCCAAAGTAGTTCAGCACAAACTACCATCTCTGAGATAATCCCTATTGTAAACAGTGCCAAAAAGGAGTTGGAAATGTTACAATTAACACCTAGTAGTAGTGTCGTGACATTTTCAAGGGACCTGATCGAGTCCCTCAACAAACGGTACAATGACCTGGAGGAAGTAAAAGCATACTCTTTGGCTACCCTCCTAGATCCCCGTTTAAAGGGGAGTGTTTTTGTTAGCCAGGACTGTTTAAACAATGCAAAGTCACAGCTCCTAGAAGAGGCCAAAATGATTGATGGGAATGGGACCACCCCACAACTAACAACAGGGCAAACAAAAACAAATCAACAATCCTCCACTTCAAGTTCAACCAAAGTAAGTTATCACTCATTATTATCAGTAGGTAATACAAATTAAATTAATTAGGCCTCCAATTTTAGTAATTTTTCATACATTGTTAATTTTTTGAAAAACTGTAGGCCTACTTACGTGTTATGTGGGAGCCACTAATTAAAAAATACTCTTGTAATCTCTTAGCTCAATTTAGCCTAATCATCACACTTTTTAATGGTTGCTTTGTAAAATTTATAATAAAACAAAACATTATTAAATCATAAAATCCATAAATGCATTCATAAAGGTAAACCCACATCAGGTAGTCAGTGCAACAACCAACCAATTACCGTATTTGTTACATTAGCCAAACTAACAGTAACAGACACTTAACAGCAGCAGCAGTAGCAGACTTCCATGGGTAGGCCAATTCTTGAACATACCCTTTTTCATTTTATACTTAAACTTACCTGTAACTGGTTAGTCAGTGTTCACTAAGGCTGTTTTTTTTTCAGTCACCTGTTGCCAATGAGACACTGAAACTGACCATGTGGAAGAGATATTCCGTACTTATGAATGAAGCTACAGCTACCACATCTACAATTGACATGTCCGCTGAAAGAGAAGTAAACCAATATCTACTCGAACCTTTGGCTAGCCCCGAACAAAATGTCTGTGAATATTGGACAAGTGTTAATGCAACATACCCTAGACTAAGCAAGTTATCAAAAAAGTACCTCTCTGCCCCTCCTGCAACCGTGTTCTCAGAGAGGCTTTTCTCCACCTCTGGGATCATTTGTGATAAAAAAAAGAAATAGACTGGACCCTCAGAGAGTTCAAATGCTTGTTTTTTTGAACAGAAATCTAAAGTACAATGCAAACTTCAACTTGTAATCACATTCTATTGATTTTATACTCTGCATTTTGTTAAAAAACTAAACATGTTTTTTTTATAGCCTAATGCAAACAAAATCAATTGTCAATAGAATATTACAAATATTAGTCCTACCATTGTCAATAGTTTGTTAAGAGGGTTCCCTACCCCCATTGAAAAACGTCAGAAAACCGCTTCGCGCGGTATCATATAGCGATTCTAGTTTTGACATTTAAATTGTGAACCAAACGCCTTTTTGTACATAAAGAGTGGTTCTACTAAGTTTGCTTTTTAAAAAATGTCTATGCTTACGCAATCAAGGGCAACGTCTTGTCAAAGTTAGTGAACTTTAACTGTAAAGTTCACTAACTTTGACAAGTCGTTGCCCTTGATTGCGTAAGCATAGACATTTTTTAAAAAGCAAACTTAGTAGAACCACTCTTTATGTACAAAAAGGCGTTTGGTTCACAATTTAAATGTCAAAACTAGAATCGCTATATGATACCGCGCGAAGCGGTTTTCTGACGTTTTTCAATGGGGGTAGGGAACCCTATGCAACATGTGTAGGCTACCAGTCTTAAAATAAATACTATAAATTGGTGTAAAATACCTGCATTTATGCGATCTTGTGTTGTAGCTGAGTTGCTACCGGTTTCAACTCACATTGGAGTCATCTTCAGGCAGTTATAAGATGTCTTCTCGCTTCATTCGAGTCTAGACATAACTTTCGCCCGATCACGTCGTGTCGTGTCCCGTAGGCCTACCGTTTTCAGTATTTTTACAGCTTTAAATGTTCTTTTTTATGTCCGTGTACGTGTTTGTGTTTTGTTTATTTATTATCCATTTGACGACCTTCGAATGAAGCGAGAAGACATCTTATAACTGCCTGAAGATGACTCCAATGTGAGTTGAAACCGGTAGCAACTCAGCTACAACACAAGATCGCATAAATGCAGGTATTTTACACCAATTTATAGTATTTAAATGCGATCAGGAGGCTAAAATTCAATTAAAATAAATTGCAATTATTATGCTGCATTGCCATTTATAATCCCAGTGGTAGGACTAAAATTATATTTAAAATCAGTTTTGTTCACATTGAGTGGTAATTGTAAACTTGTAGGCCTATAAGCTCTAGGCCTATATTTAAAAGTAAAAGTCATTGTAAAAATTTTTGAAAAAATGTGCTGTAGGTTTAATTTTACGGTTTACGTTCATTCGTTTTCTTTCACTGTTATTGTATTATTATTATTATTATTGTGTTTATCCTCATTAAAATTGTGTGTTTCGTTCTAATAATGTTTGGGGTTTAATAATTAATTTCTAAAAACCTTTAAAATTATTTTTAAAATCACTTTTGTTCACGTTGAGTGGTAATTGTAAACTTGTAGGCCTATAAGCTCTAGGCCTATATTTAAAAGTAAAAGTCATTGTTAAAAATGTTTGAAAAAATGTGCTGTAGGTTTAATTTGACGGTTTACGTTCATTCGTTTTCTTTCACTGTTATTGTATTATTATTATTATTATTGTGTTTATCCTCATTAAAATTGTGTGTTTCGTTCTAATAATGTTTGGGTTTTATTTAATAATTAATTTCTAAAAACCTTTTTGTCATCCTGAACCATGGTATTCGGAATCGAACCCGGAATCGAGAATCGAATCCCAAATTTCAGAATCGGAATCGAATAATTTTGGAATCGACCCATCACTAGTTAAAATCTAATCAGCCAATGGAAATTCGCTTAAGAGTCTGCAGGTTTGCTGTGGCGAGTGTATTTTTATTTGTTTTAATTCAAATTTTAATGCTAAGTTAACAGATGTAGTCATATAAATGTAAGACTTGGTATACTATGACTTACATCGTTGTTTCATGTTTGTGTTTTAGGGGAAAGCTTTATTCTCAGTACTTAATTGTTTAATCATAGTACCTTGTAAGCTATGACAGCAGAGTGGCTAGCGTTGGGTCCTGGAGGCACGGGCTGCAGCATCTTCATGGCCACCTGTATGGTGTCGTTGGAGCCTCGGATGCGACATGTGCCTTTAAACACAAAGCCAAACGCACCTCGACCCAGCAACTTGCCCCTCACCAGACTGTTGGGTCTGATTAGATGTCTCTCTCCCAGGTCCAGGAACATCTGACAGGCAGAACAATGAACATGCAAAAGACTATGTCTACTGAAAATAATCAAAGACTCTGGCAATGAATTGACAGTGACACAGATGATTTTAAGGATACCGTCAATTTGAACTGGAAACGTCTTTTAGGTGCCTACAAGGCAAGATGGAAAGGAATAATGTGCAACATAATTAGAGTGCCTTAGTAGCCTGATGAAATAAAAATATTCTTCTACATTCAAAGAACGTTGAGATTAACAATTAAATTCACAGTACAACCTGAATCTAAAGACTTCTTTTATGGTTTTATGGTTTTTATGGTCTTTTATGGTTTTATGGGTTGATAAGAGAAAAAATTATGTCTTACAACACATCTCGATTTATAAACTTTACGAGTAGTAATGATAATGGTATTGATGTACTTACAGTGTCCGGGGCGATGTGGGCCAGAGATATCTCTCCATGGGTTGGACACTTGACACAGGACTTGTCATATGCAGCCAGAATACATTCCTCCACCATCCACGAGTACTGCGGCAGCTTGTCCTCTACAGTCTCTCCTGCCAGTCCAGGGTGGCCTTCAACAGACGTCTTGCGGCTGCGGATACAAATAACAAATATGTTGTCATTTGCTGTGTAGATAATAAGGAACTTGCGGTCAGCAACACTATTAATCAATATAGAGTAGATAAAATGTATTTAGTTATGTTGCAAAGTAATTTTTTTAGTTATATAAACGATTATGTAACACAAGTAACTTAACACGTTGACTGCGCGTGCCGACAATACAGGCGCTCCCCAGTGGCGGGCGAAGCCCCGGCGCGCAACCGAATCAGCGAACGCAATTGGCATTCAAATATTTCAGTCTGACGAATCACAAAAGAGCAGTGGTGACTGTGCTGCGTTACCCCGAGAGTGGATGTAGTTCACTGAAACACCCAAAGGTAGCAGCACTGCACGGATCCGTATCCAGTGTCTTTGTAATGTGGGTTGAAGAGAGAAAATCCCCGAAACCGGGACAAAAGCATTGCCAGACAGGATATTACGGGAAATTTTAGTACCAACCTACACCAAAGTAAAGCTCGCATTCTAAGCTGGCAGGCTGGCAACGATTATAACGTCTCCGTCTGAGGCTAAGCTCACACTTACTCAATATATTTCTGTTGGTCTGGTGCCGACTTTTGTCGGCGCGCGCCACCTGGGAGCGCTGGCGACGTGAAGTCGGCGTGCGCAGTCAACGTGTTAAAACATCACAGATTTTTTTCTCATAGTCTGACAAGGACTCCATAATAAGATGATATTATGTAAATAGTTTTAATAGTTCAAGTTTTGATATTAGGCGAGGCTTGATTATTCATTTTCATGGAATGCCGACTGTAATTCTGCCATTAAAACTAAAACAACCAACTATGATAGTTTTTAGTTTTATTTATCATTACCTACCTAGAGCCTGTGCTGTCAGGGTCCACTCCACTGTCTACATCACTGGTGTAGCTCTCTTGAGACTTGCGTACTCTGCGAGAGTGACGACCTTCTGCTTCTGCAACTTGCAGTGCCTACAACATTGCATATCCAATCAACATTATTCATAGTGAAGAGGGAGATCTCTTTATTTAGAAAAAAATTAATACTTTAGATTGGTAAAGCTTAGTCTTTAGAGTTGATGCAACCCGCTTTTAGCAAATTTCCCATATAGGGAGTAAGCTATTACCGTAGTAATCATGGTAAGACCTGGACCCGGAACCAATTTACTTTTTCGTTTGAGGTCCCTAGAGGCCTAAAACACCATCCGTTCAAATTCATATATATTATATATATATCCGTTAGCAAGATAAATCGAGCAAAATTTATCCGATTTTGATAAAATTTGGTATAAATGTGTAAACCTACATTTATTCGGACATGTTCACGAACCAGCATGATCGGACTACAGGAATGGGTGTTTATGGGGGGTATTATGGGGTTTTTGGTTTTTGTTTTTTCCCATTGTTAACCATAAAAACAAAAAAATTTAGCAAATTCTTACCTACCAAACCATAATGTAGAGCTTACCCTCCCTGTTGTATAAAACCTATGTACTCGTTAAACTAATGCTGTTTAAATTGGGAATAAATGTGATATTTTTAAGGAGACATTTTAATGTAAATCCAATCAGGCAAATGGAAATTCACTTAGCCTGCAGGTTTGTTGCGGCGGGGGTATTTTAATTAGTGCTAAAAAATCCCTTGTTTTAGTTTTACATCAATGCCAGAGTGGTTGCTATTAGTTAGATCTTCTGTTTTCTTGCCAATGTGTAGGAAACGTTTAAAAAAGTCTGTTGTAAAAAATCCTACTGTCTAAAAATACCATATTACTACCTGTAATACTAGAACCAGTCATTTAGCCACACTATTGCCAAGTAAATGATTGGGAAGTGGGGATACTGGAGATAATGAGTTAACTGACCTCAGCAAGGTGGGGAGGCTGAGGCTGCTGCAAATGTTGAGGTTTGCTATTCAGGTCAACATCTTGGTCTTGGACTGAGGCAAGGCACCTCGGACAAGGCACTAGCCTAGTCACTAGGAACTTGCCTTCTGAAGTGTGGACAAACCTTGTACCTACAACACAATAGAGAGAATCGCAGATCATAACAAAGAAAAAAGGAAAATTCAAAATTTTTCTTAAGATATAACATATTTAAATGAAAGGTAGAATGTTTTTAAAGACCAATCTTAAATGGAAGCAAGATTGGTGGTAAAAATAGTTAAACTAATAACCAGAAAACTCTGTACATTTTTGGTACTGTAATAAAACTAGTGGAACTCTAGATGATTTATGTATGCAGAAAAGTATGTATTGAACAATTCTCCAAACAAATAAAACAAAACTTAATATTAAATCATAACTTCAAAACAAGATTATTAATAGGTAGCTGTTATAAATAACACTAACAAAGATTCTAAATATCGTAGCTAATGAGCGTTTTTCTAATACAGCCCTGAAAATGACCATTTACAACGAGGCGAAACATCAGATCATGTTATTAGCAAATTTACATGGTTTTACCTACAAGACTACAAATTTGTAGCTAATTGTAACCTTACTTCTTCTTGTGAAATAAATATGTTGCTGAATTTCACTGCTGCTCTAGTTTTGAGTTTTGATACTAATGAGTGACTGTGTACATCTTACCGAGTGTTGGGTACCAGTCCTCCAGTAGGGTGTCTATGTGGTCCACAGCTGCAGCCAGTAGTTGGGCTGAACACTCTGGGCTGGGGTCCAACACTATAGCCTGGTAGCCGATAGCCTGGTCCTCATCTGTGATTGGTCGTTTGATCACCAGTGTATCCAATGGCAGCAGCACCTCCAGTATAGAACAGTTGACCAGGTCCACGTCTCCCCACACCCCCTCCTGCTTCAGCCTCAGCCTGCCACAATTATAACTAATATATACTGCAATGACTTTGTAATGACACCATAAAAATTTTTATTTTATAAACTACTAGCTGCTGTACCCATACTTTGCAGTGGGAGAGGACACAAATGAGAAAATTTTGTTTTTTAAATCTGCTAAATAAAATATTAACATGTCTTACTTTGATTTTAGAAACAAAATTAATCGTTACCACATTTAGTTTAATGAAATGTTCATTCTTTAAATACAGGTAATTGGAGATTAAATCTTATAATGTAAACTATATTATGATAGGCGCTGATGCAAGTATGATAATAATGAAAGTGTATCTTTTACAAATTGAATCGTACACAATTTGTAAAAGATACACTTATTTAAACATTTATTTACTGTAGTTGAAAAAACCTACTTATATTTCAGTGGGGTAGCCAGGTTTGGAGCGCCCTGGAGCAGAAATTAATAACCGCCCCCCTATTCCAAAAACATCACCATACAGATATATACTAAATTTATTTCCCTTTTATTTTCCTCATGCTCATGTTTTGTTGATAAGCACACAAAACACAGCGTAGGCTACGTAAATTTTCAACTGACAATAAACTACAAACTACAAAATAGTAATTAGGAGCTAATATATGTTAACACTCTATGGCGCCATCTTAAGGCTGACTCTAAAAATACTAAGATACAGTCTGAAGATTGAGTGCCAAAATAAAAATTGTATTATTTTTTTATTGTCATAATAAAATGGCATTTATTGTGAATTAATAACTTAATATACAAATCACAAGTGCTTAAAAAAAGTACTTTTTACACAGATAATTTACAAACAGCCGTTACTATCATTTAGATGCTATGATTTAGAGTAATATGCATTACTCCACCAACACAATAATAAATTCATAATATTTTAATTTTACATTTTAACTGATATAAATGTTGATAAAGGGTTAGGCTAAGTTTGTAGTAAAATATAACACAATGATAAACCCACTAAACAAAAATGTTAATAATAATGTACAATGGTATTAAGGTGTTAATCAGATCTATTTACTTCGGCGTGACTAGCGGACGACTTTTATAGCTATAAAAATGCACAGCACTGATATCGGTATTTGCTAGATTCATTTATGTATAATGGATAAAATTAACTACTCCAGCTCCCCAACAAAAGTACAGTATTGCAGAATTGAAAACAGCCGTTATGCTGCAGTATGATGAAAATCTTCACGAGAAATTGTTTTAGAAACATCATAACAATTATACAGTATTTCAAATTGTGTAAAAACTTAAAACAAAACCTGTAAGTAAAAGCCAAGGATTACATTATTTTATAACCTTAAAATTTCTATATGATTTGAGCAGTAGTTTTTGTTAAATAACAGTTTTTTAAGTCAAGTGTAGTCTGCAACCTAAATAATTTCTTTTCTAATTCAAATCATAGCTCAAATAAGTAAAAAATAGTTCACATCAGTTGCATCTTCAGTTGCAATACTGATCACTAAATGTAGGAACATATGTAACTCAAAAAATAGTTCACATCAGTTGCATCTTCAGTTGCAATACTGATCACTAAATGTAGGAACATATGTAACTCATAATAGGACAAGTGAAACCTCAGCAGACGATACACATAATTATAGTTGTCGCACACGCAGCCCATACGCCTAATTGTGACCTACTTGAGTTTCTTGTAGTCTGTTGGTACACTACGAAGTGCAGGAATGACTTCTTTCATGCGGAACAACACTGAGTCTGCGTATCGCAGCTCCATCCCTGTCTGCCACAACACCCACTCAGCCTTCACATCTAGCAACCGGGCCAACCGAGCATCCTGCGTCACCTAGCGCAACAGAGTACATTACTGACAAAAACTGGTCAAATCTTGGGAAGTTATTGGTGAACACAATTCAGTAAAACTCTATTACCTCTTTAGGGATGATGAAGAATGAGCGAATGATGTCGACTATGGAGTCGTCAGCCAATATGCGAGTAATCAGACGAGACCAGAAGCCCGATGGGAAGTATGACATAAGCAACAGTCTGGTGACACAAACCTCAGGATCGCTGCGGTGAGTCAACTCCAGCTCCGAGGGTACCTCTGTAACAACAACACATAGAGTAATAAATTAATATATTGTGTTGAAATTTTAATGAAAGAAAGAATTAAAACATGTTTGAATTAATCAGGCTTTCCTCTCGTTATTCACTTTGGGAATCATTACCTAATATTATTTTCTATGTTCCTCGATCCATTCAAAATAGTTTTGAGTTTTATCACGTACTACTACCCCCCAAAACTTATAGTGTTTCAAACTCCCAATATTTTGCAGTGCAAAAAAGTAACATGTCTTCAATAGAGATATATAACCGAACTAGCCGGTCTCATACACAGGCGCAACATCAAACCATGTTTAACATAAAAAGCCATCAATCGCACACCTTATAGGAGGATTAATATTATTTGAGGGCGTGTCTTGCTAGAGCCACCATCTTGTGCAAGCTTGTCTATTGTTTTTGCCTAACTTCTGTTTTTACTAGTTGCTTATTCAGGATTTTGTGGTTCTTATTTTAACTAACTTACATTCCTCTAAGTGGTTTTTATATGGTGATTTTCCAGATTTGCTGGGTTTGTGTTCTATAATCTTGTTATGTTTTAGGTACTTTCTCATAAGAATGTTGTGAACACTCGGTTTAACTATTTATAATGAAAATTATCTGCAAAAATCCTTCAAATAAGATTAAATCACCTTCGCCAAAAATGAACTTCAAACAAAGAATTTATCAAAGAGGACGAATCCTAGCTTGCTTGATCATACACAGGTGCAACATATGATCAAAACTGATTTAAAAAAACTTAATCAAACCCATATGAAAACATACCGTGAACGGGAGTAGGGGGTGAAGCGTAGAAGGAAGAGTTTCCGACCAGGGTTGTGGCAGTGGCTGAGCCCGTAGAGACCTTCTTGTTGCGCACAGCCCATCCCCGGGACCTTACTGGGATCTGCAGAAGACATGATCTGATAAGTATTTAATAACTAACATCTCAAACAGTATAGGCCATAATGAGCTTCAGCTACTACAGTTAGGTACATGTTATACAATTTGAGTACAATTAATGCTTCAAATTCTAAACATTTCACAAATTTGTTTTGGAAACCTTCTATGGTGATCTACACCATTGAATGTTGCATGAATTAAGAATTGCCATAAAAACACACACATAGACACACATGATTACTGATTAGGTAGTCCTACAGTGATGGGTTTTCTCTGATTTTTCAAAGTAAAAATACCACAATAGCAAACAAGTCACCCGGACAATAAGTCAACAGGAACAGATTATGTAAGAACTCAAGCATTGTTTTACAAAAAGAGGAGAGGAACACCAAATTTTGTTGGTTTGAGATCCTTACTCAGATTTTATTATGTTTCCTGCCTCAAACAAACACACCGGTTATGAAAGCGCAGACAAACAAAAGGTGTGTCTAAATAGCCTATGTGATTTGATTTTCAATTCAAGATAGGTAGTCAAATTTTAAATTTGAATATTTTCATGAAATTTAGAGGATTCCTGATTCGGAAATGATACTTCACTATAGTTTGATTATTTGGACAAAATCAATCGTTGACCTTGACTTTGACCCCGGCCGTGTGGTTGCTGACGTCCTGTTCAGCTGGCAGCAGGGAGGGGATAAGCAGTGTGCGGTTGTCCCACGTCAGTGCAACTTCAAACTTGTTGAGCAAGTTGACAATGTAGCCCCTGGTGTCTACTGGACCTAGGTTGCTGGACTTGAACACATGCTTCAGGTCATCCAGCTTCATTATGCCTGATAACAAGAAAAAACTCTTTTTTATATAAAAAAAGAAACCTACATTGTTACCTAACATGTATCATACTCAGGCAGATGTGAGAGTGTGGACTGGTTTGTACAGTATTTGTTAAAATTTAAAATTTTCAAAAGAAGTACTATACCTACAGATTTGTAACAAAGCCAAATCTATCTATATAATACGTGAAGCCGTTTTTTGTTAACACAACTCCTCCCTTATTTGTGGACCAATTTCAACGTTTAAGGTGTCAAAAGATCTAACTCAATATGAAGTTTTGCAATAAGGTTTTAGAATTTAAAAATTCCTACTCTTAAGGGTGTGAGACTCTCTCAAAGGTCGGGTTTTCCCCATAAGAAATACATAGAGAAAATTTAAAAACAAAAAACAGCTGTTTATAAAAAGAAACTCATTAGCTTTTTGTGAGTAAATATTAACTAGCTGTTACCCACGGGCTCCACCCCATTTTACTACATTAGTATTAATAAAACTATTGATTGGTTAAGTTAAGATTAAATAAACAAAGCAGAATACAAACAAAACAAATAATAAAAGCTGAGGTATTTTTAACATTAGGTAAATGGAAAGTTCCCTTTGGAAAGCAATTATGACCTTATAGGGCAACTTATGAAATAATGGATAATTTTGTGCAAGGTTTCTCGTCATGACGGACATTTTAAGTATATGGTTTATGGGGGTGTGACTTGTAGTTTTCTCAAAAGTTCATGGGTACTTTTGGCTTTATATATAGATGTTTGTAATATTCAGTAGGTTAAGACCAAGTTAAACAGTTAATCAGTTTTGTTGGAAGAACAGAAAATGCCTCAAGTTCAAAGGAGAAATATTGAAAACGGGAGGTGGAGACAATTAATAGTAAGATATCTTATGCGTATGAGGAGAGTAGAAAAAGAGAGGCCTGGTCTAACAGATACCCATCCAGATACACCACATTCACTTGGTGAGATGAATAATATTTGCCAGTTCTGCTATGCAATTTACTTTGGAAGTGAAAAATATACGAAGCACATAGTGTTGTCACGGTGGTAAAGTAAACTTGCCTAATGTCAGATAAAATGAATGCATGCAAGAAATGTTTACTTCTGACACTGACAGATCGAGATATTTCAAAACATTTAGTAGACACTATAATAATGCCTTGCTTATGGTAAGTTCAAGTAGTAAGATTATACCAAATCTTGGCGGACCTTATGTTTTTATTGTAAACTGTTGTATTACTCGCTCTACTTCAATTGAGAAAAACGCAATTGGATTGTTTACTTCTAGGATATGTTGCCAGTTCCTCTGACAAACTTATACAAGTATTTTGACTGAATTCACCAACACAATCCAGACATTTCAAGTCAAAAATAAGAATTTTCAAAAACTCAATTGCTGTTGAAAGTTTTAGTGGCAATATTAGACCAAACATAGGTGAAGGAATTAGTGTTCATGTATTCAACGATCAAGTAGTTGCGGTCAAGCTGCTCAAAAAGAGAAAATGATAATTTCTATCCAAAAATCTTATAGCTACAAGAGTTATCAAACTTATTTCGATAAATGAATCCATACTTTCAAAACTTTGGGACAGGTATTAAGATAAATTCCACTAAACAACGTGAGAAAGTTCTGATGCAGGGCATATACTGTGACTGACAGACAACACGTTAAAATACGTTACCGTAACCAATGTTCAATGGTGTTGCTGCTTTAGCCTATTCTAAGCAGATTATGGCTGCCCAGTTGGTAACCCAGAGTTTATGTGTAAAAAATGGAGCACATAAAATGGTTGATATCACCCCACTTTTCAGGATTCTCTACGGTGAAAATTCGTTGGTTTAGGGGGATGACTCAAAAATAAAAGAAATAAAATAACCCAAGTTAAATTAATTAACACAGGTTATCAGTAACGCACAAGTTTTCTTCAATTCTCAATGCTGGACAAACTTTGTTGCAACATGTTAACTCGAATTGGAAGCAGACTTAGTTTAGAATTCATTAGAAGTTATCAGTTAAAACTTAGAGCAGAAATAATGTCGGTGAACCTTGACGACGCAAATAGAGATATTTAAAATTAGTTTCTAACAAGTGTTTAAACAACTCTAAGATGTAACTGGAATTACTCGACTTTAAGCATAACGTTTTTTTTTTTTTCGGCGTTATGTTTCATACTATGCGGCTCATTGAGCCGCACGGGTTCTCTAGTTAAAATTCTAATGTTTGTCTAATTTATGAATTAAAACCAAAATATATATAAGGCATGAGCTAAATATTCCAACTCAATTAATTTTAACTTTTTTTATAACTGCTATTTCAAAACCTAGTTGCTTGCTAGATAGTCTACTTACCAGTTCTAGCAAACGGGTTTATTTCCCGGATGGTCACAACATGTGCCAACATGTCACACAGCCACTGGGGGTCAAGGAAGTAGAGGTCCTTCAATGTTGCATCATCATAATGCAGGAGAACTCCTGAAATTTGTTAGTTACAATATAATACAATTAATAATATGTTTTTAAACATAAAAATAAGACTAAAAACATAAAAAAAAAACTAATGTATTGTAATATGTAAATTATGGAAACACATTATGGAAATAATAAAATAAAAATATTCAAAACAGCTGTACTCTAAAAGTTGTGCATTTAATACATGAAATAATAACCAAAATGTGAAAATAGTTTTTCTAAAAGGTGGATTCAGCTGTATCTACTGTCTGAACTATATTTTAACCTGGGCAATAGTCACACACATATGAATTGAAATGTGTCTGATAATATTTCACAAGTGTAATCAAATACATAACCATCACTTGTTTATACATCTACATTTAGCTGTAAACATTCACACATACATGCCAAGGATGTTACATTGTCAATCAATCGACCAGTGACACAAACATCTTCAGTCCAAATTGGAGACATTCTGAGAGTCGTAGTTGTTCAGTTAGTTTAGGTGGATTGTAAGAGTTCTGACTAACCATTATCATGTAGGAACAATGTAGCCTGGTGCAGTTCGGCCACATCACGGAAGGTTCTCTGATAGCGATGTTGCATTTCTGACCACACGAACGTACGATAAGTCTCAGCGTCCAACACAGGGTCTGCTCCAGCTACGCGACGTTCTGCTGCGATGTGTGCAACTACGTCCTCCAGGGCTAGGTAGCTGGCTGGCACACGCTGCTCTAGCAATAACTCTTTGCTGCCTGCAACCAGCCACCAGACTGATTCAAACTCATAGATTAACCCATTAATTAACTTTAAAGTTAACCCACTAGGTTTTTTTCCAAATTTATATCCTTTTGTGTTAGATTTAGCAAACCTTAAAACTGCAAAATTCCAACTTGGTACCTGTGGTACCTGGTATTTTGGTGGTACTCTGGATTTCTCAGTGAACCTGTGTAGAATTTTAAAAAGGTTACACGGGACCCTACGCCATTATTGTTTACAACCCTGCGAGTGACCCGGGTGGCAAACTGTGGAACATAATAGATTCAATTGTTATACATTACATTGCCTTGTACGAGCCTCAGAGAAGTAGTCAATTATACCTGATGACTCAGTTGATAGCCATTTAATCAGCACAATAACTATGGATTCTTTAAATAAAATGAAGTAATGTATTTATTTAATTTAAAACAAGCTAGGTTTATGTATTTTAATGTTATGGTATTTAATCTAGCATCTTAGCATAAACTATAAAAATTCATTTAATGGTGAAATAGCCTCTAAATCGCTGAATTCAAGCTAAAAAAGCTTCAATTACATTTTTAAATTATGTTTTTGTCACATTTGAAGATAGGCTCTAGTAGGTTAAAACTGCAGTAGTGTACTACCTTATTGATTGATAGAACTAGATATTCCAGTATTTTATTCACATTGGACTAAATTGAATTGAGCCACTGGCAGATTGTGTTGTTGGAAATTATATTTTAAAGGAAAGCCATTTGGCAAGTAAGGAACTTTTTGAAAAGGGTTAGAGTTCAGCTGGCTTAACTGAGAAAATGAGAGTGCATGGGGCTTATAGATACACAATTAAATAACACAAAACTGTGACGCATAGCGGCACGCTATATTTTATATAGTGTAAGCATTTCGCGAAGCCGGGCTGCATGACCATCTCGTTGCCTGCCGCGACTGCATCAACGCTCTATCCCCACCTTCCTACTCTTGTCCTCCTTCTTGTCTTGGTCTAAGATCCTTCGAAGAGAAAACTGTGAAATTGCTAACTCCGGCGACCGCAAACTGATAAGTTTATATTTAGTTATAATTATGTAGGATATAAGTACCAATTATGGTTGGCTAAGTCAGGAAACACCGGGGAGCCTTTCTGGCTCACCCGACCATTGAAATGTAGGGAATCACAACTTAGTTGGTTGGCTACCTTCTGCAACCAACCTTTTCAAACATGAAAAATTAAACCACATGATCCTAGAATGTAGCTTAGCAATTATCAATTAAATTCATACATATTTCACATTCAGTATTCAATTTACGTACTATCCCATTCACCTTGCAATATTTCTGAGTAATTATCCATGTTCAGTTCATAGTTGGAAGGATAGGTACACAATTTAAATAGTTAGTTAAGTTAGTGTAAATCAAAGCTGGCTAGGCAGGTGTTCTGATTTGGGTAAAGATCTCCGTCCCTCTGGTCCCCAGCAATCTTCCTAATTTTATTGGTAGCAGATTCAGCACGCTTAAGTTAAGTTTGGTCCAGACATAGCAATTCCAACCCTATTAGCATTACCCTGTTATTCCCTCCGATTTCCCGAATTCCCGCCATTATCCCATAACCACCATATATCGCCCCCGAACCCGCAATAGCAAACAATAGTCTCCCTCCTTCCTTCTTACCCCCACGGCTACATATGTTTCATTATGGCTACAAAACATAACACAGACATTTCCCCTTTATATCTAGGACATCTTCAAGAATAAAAGGTTAAAGAAGAATGATTTTCTCACGTAATGAAAATTATTATTTTTTTCAATCTACTTACTGAAGAAGTCCTACATCAGGACGAAATATCGATGTTATGTTTTGTGTTCTTTTATTGTGTACCTATTAGTCCCTGGACTCTTACAGTGAAAAATTGGGGACAGCTGGTTCATATAAATACCAGGCATCATAAATTGGATGCCTTACCTACTTCAATATCCAAAAGTCAATGGTACCTTTAGGGCACTTGACAAAACAAGGTAATTCAAACTTCTTTTTAGAAAAAAATTTGTAAAGTGTTCGTCACAGTATTAATTTAAGGCTTTTTCCCAATATCCTAGAACTTTTAAACTCTGCAACCTTCTGGTCAACACTAAGCCTACTGTAGGGTGTACCTGGTGGGCGAAGGCTGAAGACAGTGTCGTAGATGAGGTTGCACAACAGTTTGATGTTGTGTCGTGTCTTGCAGCTGACCTCAATGGTGTCCAACACTCGAGGCAGACCACACTTCTCTGCATCCACTACATTGATGAACCTGCGGCATCAGACACAACGGTTAACATGTAATATGTTAATGTGATAGTTGATAGTGAACACCGAAATTAAAAACTAGCATGTCGTTTTAGTTAAAAATACTCTGAAGCATAGATGAATGTTAGTACACTAAGTAAAACAAATCTAAAATGGTATCAGAGTAAAAGCAAGTTTGCCTGTTGGAGTGTTAGTAAACTTACTTGTCTCGGATGAGTTGCTGCAAATCTTCTGAGCGTGAGGATGGATACTGCTGCATCATGTCGTAATGAGTGCCGATTATTAGAACAGGAGAGTTGGGTGCTCGAGCCTACAAAATATATGAAACTTAGTTATGGTTGTCAACCAACAATAACAATCATCACTAATGAATATCTCTTTGCAATGTCTTAAAACCCACACAGCCAACAGGATTTGAGGCTTTTCACTAGGGTTTTGTAAAGCATTATAAAGGATCCTAGAAACTGAAAGGTTATAAATTTTTAAATTTTAAACATATAAATTTTAGATCACATAAAAACAAAGGCTGACTAGAAAAGGTCAGTGGTTTTAAAATATAAAAAAAGGAGAAGACCAAAACCAATATTATTATAAAAACACATTTTTAATTTAAACTCGTTAGCTATACATAATATTATCTTCAACATTCAAATTAGGGCATTTATCAATTATCATTGACATGACACGTTTTCTAACTACTGTTTACACTATAACACAGCATGGTTTTCAGTAAGCCATGTCTGACTCACCTGTATATTGACTAGCCACTGTAGTATCTCTGCAATGCCTCGTTGTCCGTCAGGTATCCTCCAGACCACCAGATACAGACTGCGTTTGCTCAAGAAGTACTGATGAGTAGCATAGTACTCCCTCTGCCCTCCAAAGTCCCATGTCCTGAATAGTGATTTAATAACAATTATTTTCATTTTAAGCTGACTCTCGTTGTTTCATAAATAGGTATACGATATAGCCTAACATTATGGAAACGTTTAAAAAGATTTTAAAATTGTTATGAAGTATAAATTGAGTTGGTTTACAAACTTATGGTCCGTTCACAAAATTTAGGCGGTTTGAGGGGATGTTCCCCACCACTTTATTCTGCTTAATGTATGTTGCTGATTGACTTTTGACAAATCTCAGCTATTGTGCTATGTCGCAATGGTAGGATCAAGACTAAGTCAATAGATTTCTTCCGCTAAAACCACCTAAATTTTGTGAACGGAGGATAATACTTTTATGCAAACAGTGAAATAAGAGGACTGTCTAGAAAGTAACAGATGTTTTGACTAAATTGTTAAGGTAAGATTGCTCAGTGCTAGTACACATTCAGCTATGAACAAATGAAAGACCTACAACCCACTGACCTATTCAATTGTTTTAATTGAACAATTTGTTTCCCTTTCAGTATGATAACTGTTTGAACTAACCCAATAAGGTTATGTTGGCCATAGAAGTCTAACATTGCAGCGTATAGACGGGGACAGTAGAGACGGCAAGTTGCTGGCTGCAAGTACTGTCCATTATGTCACTTGCCGTTATGTTTTCCTATACACCGGGTAAGTACTATCGGCAAGTGATAAGGAAAGAACTTGCAGCCAGTCTGCTTTGAGTTTGCGAGTTGTGTCAATAGTTGAATTTAATTTGTGTTGAGCTTGTCTGATTGTTAAGAAGTTTTTTTAGCATAAATATGACGTATGTTCCAGAATAGTTCGTAATTTTGAAAAGTCTATATAAAAACTTAGTGATGTCAACACAGCTCCACTTTATGTTTTTTTCTTTCTCAACAGGGAACTCTGACATTTTAAACAAACTTTGTACTTTTAACAAACAACTTTGTCACTTCTATAAACACGATCAACTGATCAACTATAATTTCACTTGCCACTCTGCTCTACTGGCGGCAAGTGCATGGCAAGTACACGTTTTGACAGGAAAGTTCTGGCCGCCAGTAGTCACGTGACCAGCCACGTGACCCATTACTTGCCGCGGCCAGGCCAGTAAAATCAAATATGTTTGGGTTTTCTTGCTGCCAGCAAATACTTGCCGCTGGAAAGGAAAGAACACTATACACAAGGAAAGTATGCAGTAAGTGCAAATGGCAAGTACTTGCAGCCAGCTACTTGCCGTCTCTACTGCCCCTGTCTATAAGCTGCTATAGACGGGAACAGTAGAGATGGCAAGTAGCTGGCTGCAAGTACTGTCCATTACGTCACTTGCCATATGTTTTCCTATACACTGGGTAAGTACTATCGGCAAGTGACAAGGAAAGAACTTGCAGCCAGTCTACTTTGAGGACGCGAGTGAATAGTGTTGATAGTTGAATTGAATTGTGTTGACTGTTGAGCATATCTGATTGTGACAAAGAATTTTGTCAGCATATTATTTTTTTCAAAAAAGAAGTATGTTCCACAAAACTTTGTAATTTAGATAAATCTCCAAAAACTTAGTGATGTCATCACAGCTCCATTTAATGAATTTTTCTAATCAGAAATGCCCTTGTCTGACATTTTAACCAATCACATTGTTACTTCTATAAACACGATCAACTCTGATTTCACAACCATGCAAATACTTGCCGCTGGAAACGAAAGTATCCCTACACACAAGGTAAGTATGCAGTAAGTGCAACTGGCAAGTACTTGCAGCCAGCAACTTGCCATCCCTAATGTCCCCGCCTACACGCTGCTTAAGAAAAAATAAGTTCAAATAAAAATATGATTAAACTATTTTATTTACTTTTACTTATAATTTTCACACTTCAACACCGGTAAAAAACATGAAATCATTACAAGAACAATATTTGGTTCATTGGTTGTAACTCATTTTTGAGAGAGGGTTGTTGCCAAAATTACAAGTAGTAAACAACAATCATGTATAAGATTTTTTAAAGAAAAGAAGAGTTTATGTTAGCTGACCTGAAGACTACAGGTCCGTGATTGGAGTGGCCGCGCACCTTCTTCTCATACACCCAATCTCCAATGTCCACCCCTACAGTAGACATGTTGGTGCCCCGTGAGGTCTTCACATTGATGTTCTTGTTGCCCATCCGCTTGGCCCAGTGCTATAAACAAGCATTAATTAAAGGTGTAACATATAGGACAAGGGCCTTGGTTTTTAGGATTTTTTGTGTGGATAGCAGGCTTACCTGAATGGGAAAGAATCCAAACTGGTACAGTATACACAAAACTTTACAGTATATACACAAAACATTAGAATACAGTACTTCACTGTCACTGACAGCATTTTCAACTAAGGAAGAGAGGGTTTTCTTTAGGTTCAATATGGTCGTATTGTTTCTTTATCCATATTGGAGCTTAAGAAAACTCTATCTTCCATAGTTGAACATGCTGTAAAGCCTGGTTTACACGGGTCGAGTATGTCAGACGAGTTATTCGGCCCAGTTACTAGGCCCAGTTGTTGATTTGTTCAACTCGCCCGGTACTTGACTGGACTGTCTACACGCATTCCTATTTCAAACAGGGACAGTGTAGGCACAGAGAAGTCATTTTTATTATTTCTCCATGGTGTAGGGTATACGGTATACCGTAGCTTTCGTGTTAAATGTAGTTTGAGTTTAAAATAGCCCTTTAATAGTTTAATACTGAGTAACTGAATTAAATCACTGAATTAGATTATTATATATAAAACTGAATCACCACTTAAATTCAGAGGTTGCTTAAAAGCTTTTTTGCAAATAACTTGTAAACGGTGAGGAAATAGACCAAAGTGAAAGGTGATATTCTGAAAGAGAATAAGATTTGTTACAAATTACTTACTATACTGCATTTCTTTAAAATAATATATAAAGGCAGCCAAAAGTTGCCTCCAAATAAAAAATTTTAAAACAGTGTTTTCAATTTATTTCTGAAAGAATACATTTTTAGGGAGTGAGCTTTCTAACGACCCATTGATTAATAAAATCGGTCCAGTATAACTGTAGATCTTAAGTTTTACAACAATTTTGAAAACTGAATTCTATAAGATTAGATTTAAGAGACAATGCAACACAGTACTGTTCAACTTGTACTTGTACAAAATCACTTGTACTGTTTAAGTAAACCATTGAACATTGAGGGTGAGTAGGCCACCACTCACTGAACTAACTTTGTTTCGTTAACTGATCGTTGTGTGTGATCAACTCACTCAGCGACCACAAACAAATTTAAAAAATAATTCTGTGGTCGCTAGACTTACTTGATAGCAGTAAACAGATGTTTCCCAGGCAAATCGTGGTGGGGGGGGGGGGGGTTGCTACTGGGCCGAGCAACTCGGTTTTCAACTAAATCGCTCGACTCGCTCTCAACTGACCTCTTTTTCAACTCGCTCGTTGCTCGACTCGCCTGCATGTCTACACCATGCGAGTTAGAGAGCGAGTGGCAACTCGCACACTGACTCGTCCGCCGTACTCGACCCGTGTAAACCAGGCTTAAGTGACAGTGAAATATTCTAATGTTTTGTGTATATAGTGTAAAGTTTTGTGTATACTGAACCAGTTTGGACTCTTTCCCATTCAGGTAAGCCTAAAAATCCTTTAAAAATTCCTAACACATTAATTAAAATTTGGGACATAACTAATGCATGAAAGGAGGGAACATTTTAATTTATATATTCTTTTAAAGAATACTGAACTTAAAGAATGATAAGTAAAATTTTCTCATATTGAACATTATGCAGGGTATAATTAAGAAAAGAGTGAATAACAAAATAATAGTAACCAGTCTGAACCTCAACAAACTAGGTACAGGTTTTCATGAAATTACTTTTGAAAAAACAATAACAGCAATAATAGCACTACAAAAGAAAATACTTAAAAGTACCACCATGGTAATACTAATAATATTTTTAATATAATTTTAGTACCTTACAAGCTTACATTGATATCGCACCCTATTCAGTTGTCTAATGCTCATATTATAATCGATTCTTGATTGTCGATTGTTGTCTGGATAGCCACTTGGCTATAATGCTCAACTATAATGCTATGACACCCCATAGCAAATAGATCATAGCAATGATCTATAGCACCAATGCAATGACCATAGCAATGATGAAAATAGCATGCTATCATAGCATGCTATGATATGCTATGGGGCTATAATGCTTGGTTATAATACTCGCTTTCAAATCTGAAGATCGCTGAATGTTGGTACTAGACCCAGATGCCATTTGTCATTGGGCTATCAAAGGGACAAAAGGTCGAAGTGTCCAAAAAATCTTTTAAAAAACTGAGATAAAAAGATAAAATACCTCAGTTGGTTTTTTCTTGTATGAGCCAGTGCCTTCCATTCTCAGTTGTTCCAGTAGAGATGTTTTGCCGATTCCTTGTATCCCGACAATCATCAGCTTCATGCGAGCATACGGTTTAGCATCCTCCAGCACTGACTTGAGATACCCCACTACGTCCATTGTCTTGTACTTCTTCGAGTCTATCATGGACTTGAGTGGCTCTTGTAGACTGCATCCTCGAGTGTTGAGGTTCCATAGTCGAGACAACAACCCCATCTGCGGCGGCAGCTCACTGATGTCTACACAACAAAAATGATGTTAGTTTGACACAAATTCAACCACAATTTACAGCTAGAGGAAATGTGACGATTGACGTCATATTATTTCATGTAAAATTCTAAGAGTACAAGACTACAAACCTGGGTTTCCGCTGACGTTGAGGACAGACAGATTGCTGAGCTCGTGTATACTGACAGGGATCTCCTTCAGGTTGTTGTTGCTGATGTCTAACATGCTGAGTGCTGGGAACATGAGCTTCACTTTCACTCCACTGACTGCCATCATGTCCTGCCAACACAACCACCAGTATACAATGGTACAGTAATACAGGACAATAGAAACAAACCTTAACAGATATGTTACCTAAAAAAAAAATTTTATTTGAAGACCAGCCAGGCAGCAACCAAATAAAACCAAACAAAGATTTTTTTAAATAGGATCAGGTTTTTATGATATTTATTTTCAAAAATATTAATAGTGTTGAGAAATCTATTAATGGTATGCTATCTATTAAGAAAGTCTTGATAACAAAAAATACCAATTAATAGTTTTCTTGATGAAAATGTCAAATGATTTAAGTATTCTACTTCAAGATTTTTATAGCCATGATTAATGAAACTTGAGCAGATATAAAGTTTTGTTTTATAAAGTTATGCCAAGAAAGAGAAAATGTAAAGATGAACAAATAAATAAGAAAGAGTTTTTAATATTAGCATTTGATCAAGAACAGACCAAAAAGAAAAAAAATAGACCAAAAGAAAAATTAAATTTTAGCTGAATTGTATTTTAGCTGAATTGTATATCATTTCACTATTTTAAATTTAAACCAGAGAAATGTTTTGCGTTCATTAACTTCTAAACAAAATATTTTTTACTTTGTTGAACATGATATTGAACATAATATTGACAATATTGAACATGATCTCCCCAACTGGAGTCACAGAGAAATAAAAAACATCTTCTGCAGCCTCGGAAAAATCATTGCTTCATTCGTGATCATGGTAAAATCATGAACATCTTCCATAGTCATGGAGATATTAAGAATATTTTCTGCGGTCATTGCAAAATTGAGAACATCTTTCGCAATCGTATCAAACTCAAGAGCATATTCTGCGATCTCGGCTGAATTGTGAATGTCTTCCACGACCACAGCAAATAATGTCATAGTATTTTCCCTTTGCACATCTAATATTACTGACCCAGTCAGGGTCGTGCTCCTCGCTGTCTTGAGAGATGTTGAGGCCATCATCATCAGTGGTCAGTTGTATCCTCTGTACTTGGTTATCAGCCAACACCAGGGTCCTCAGGTTGTCTAGACGCAGATGTCTACGGTGAGTACATAGACTGTTGAGTATAGCAGTTCTCAATGACCGACCTGCTTGTCTACGACCTGTAAACCAACGTAAATAATTATAGGCCTCTCAGATATTTAATTTTTTTATTGTCCTTTGGTTGCAATGGGAATTTTTCAAGTACTGGCCAGTCATTCTAATTCAATTCAATTCAATTCAATTCAAACTTCTTTATTCATTATTTTGTACAATATATACATCGAATAGTGTCAGGTTGTACAACAACTCAAACTAGCCTAAGTGACAATCTTATCCACTCTATGCAGGAGACTGAAAAAGCGTTTATGTACCTATTCATTATGACTGTGATGGGTGGAAAAAATCTTCAAAAGAATACGGAGCTGTTTTAATCAGATATTCTTTTAATCTTTTTTTAAATTTGTTTTTATTACTTTCTTTTTTAATTTCTTTTGGAATTGTATTTAAATATCTTTGACCGATGTAGGAAGGTTTCTTTTCAAAAAATTTTGTTTGATGTTTATATGTTATTATGGAGTCTTTATGTCGAGTATTGTATTTATGAAGGGTTGAAATATAATCTGAAGGACGAGAATCAGCTTTCTTAATTGCCATTAAAATGCAGTCAAAAATATACTGTCCGTAGACTGTCAAAATATTGAGTTCAACGAAGTGTTTTTTCACAGAGGCATCACGCTGTAGTTTTAGCATTATTCTAATTGCATATTCTTGTTTTTTTAATATATTTTCAAGATTAATTTTTGAAGTTACTCCAAATAAACAAATCCCAAAAGCAATATGGGAATGTATGTATGCAAAATAGATTTTACGCATTGTTTCAATATTACAATAAAAAGACATTTTCCTCAAAGCAAATATTCCAGAACTAATTTTTGGTAAAATTTTGTCCACATGGTTATTCCAATCTAGATGCTGATCAATAGTTAAGCCAAGAAACTGAGCATTTGGTTTTGTTATAATTTGCTGAGAATTCAAATCTATCACTGGTTTTCTCTTATTTCTGTTTTGTTTTGTTTTAAAATTAATACAATTAGTTTTTCCTACATTCAAAAATAAATTATTATCCTTGAGAAATTTATTGATGTTTTCTAATTCTAGTTTACAATTTACTTCAGCTTCTTCCAAAGTCTCTGATGATAATTTCAAGTTTGAATCATCGGCATATAAAATTAATTTTGAATTAGGTTGGAATAACAAGGCATTTTCCATGTTTTTCATATAACATAAAAATAACAGAGGACCTAATATTGAACCTTGTGGGACGCAAAATTTAACAGGCCGAGTTTCTGAAGATATACTAATAAGTTTATTTGAGTTTGATAGGAACGTTACTTCGACATACTGACTGCGGTCACAAAGATATGACTGAAACCAATTTAGAGAATTTTTCGACATTCCTAAAGATTGTAATTTTTGTAATAAAATTGAGTGCTTTACACTGTCAAAGGCTTTAGACAAGTCCAAAAAAATGCCAGTTGTAAATTTTCCTTGGTCAACAGACTCAATTACAGATTCCACAAATGAGACTGCGGCACTAACAACTGATCTACCAGATCTAAAGCCGTGTTGAATATCATCCAATAAGTTGTATTTTTCTAAATAATTACTTAACTGGATTGAAGCTATTTTCTCAAAAACTTTAGATAAAGATGGAAGCAGAGATATTGGACGATAGTTGTTTACATCTGAAGCATCACCTTTTTTTGGTACCGGGATAATTTTAGATTTTTTAAATTTAGTTGGATATGAACCAGTGATAAATGAAGAATTGATCAGGTGACTAAGAATTTTACTGATATCCCTTTTCACTTCCTTTAACACAGTTACTGGGACCTCATCATACCCACTCGACTTCGTATTTTTCAATGAGGTTATGATTTTTTCCACCTCATCACTGTTTACAGGAGTAAAACAGAACATAGGTTTAAGTAGTCTATCTGCTATACTTTTACATTTTGAGTTATTTTGAATATTCAAAGCATTAACATTTGGATTACTGTCTTTAACTATACTAGAAAAATAGTCATTAAAATAATTAGACACAATTTTTGGATTTGATACTTTCTTTCCTTCAATATTTAACTGAACATTATTAACTCTGTTTCTGGGCTTATCCCCAACCTCTGAGTTAATCAGACCCCACACAGTTTTTTGTACATTATTTGAGTTATTAATTTTCTTCTCAAAATGTTCCCTTTTTGATTTTACTAACATATGCTTGAGGTTACATTTCAATTTTTTAAGTAATTTTGATAACTTAGAGTTCCTAGTTCTTCTAATTTCTCTTGTTAATTGAACAATTTGATTATTTGTACTTCTGATGTCTTTAGTAGCCCAATTTTTATTATTGTTTTTAAAAGTTATTAAAGTTTTAGGAAAAGCTTGATTGAAAATGTAACTAAAAGTATTGTAAAACAAATCATATTTAAATTCAACAGGGGCAAAATACACATCTTCCCACGATTCCTTCCTTAATAGATTTGAAAAATGACTAATGTTTTCAGGAGAAAATTTACGCATCTCCTTTTTAAAAGGTTGTTTCTTTTTTTGTTGTTGATTTGGAACATTAATTGACAAAATTTGACCGTCATGATCAGATAGACATGTTATGATTCCTTCTACCACCATGTTAGACTTATCTATATTTTTAACAAAAAAATTGTCAATAGCAGTTTTTGTGTTATCTACTACCCTGGTGGGAAAATCTACCAAATAACACATAGCATTACTTATAAGAATTTCTGTCAATAATCTATAATTTCTATTATTTTTCAAAACATTAATATTTATGTCACCTCCTATTATTATTGAGTCATATTTTTTGCTAATAAAATCTATCAAAATGTCTAGTCTATTTAAAAAAGTAACAGTATCAGAAGCAGGGGATCTATACAATCCTACAACTACAAATTTATAATTACCAATACTGTAACTAGCAGCACAGAATTCAAACACTTTATCTTCTAAGAGTTGGTCATAAAATAATTGAGGAAAAACCACCTGCTTCCACTTAATATTAGTTTGAGAAAGAATTAGAACCCCACCTTTATTTGTATTTTGCCTGGAGTGAAAAGCATTAATTTGATAGTTTTTTATGTTTATTCGTGACATCTCATTGTTTTTAACATCGTGTTCTGTTAAAATTATTATGTGTGGACAAATTTCATCAATTGTAATTTCTAAGATATCAATTCTAGAGCTCAAATGTTGAATGTTTTGGTGGAAGACTTTAATCTTATTTATTTTATTTTTTGTTGTTGAAACTACTTTTTTAATACTAAAAAAGGTGAGGCAGAAGGGTCACTAGCATGATTCAGATTTCTACATATACTTTCAGTAACATGTAAGGGTGAATTATTTATATTACTCACAGAGCTTGATGTAATCACATTATTGCCCATATTCACATCACACACAAATTTCACTGGCGATGATTCAATCAGCTGAGGGTTGAGGGGAGCCGCTGAGATAGGTGATGCAGGTGGATGTGGTTGGCTACTCGTCTGCTGTGTCAGGTCTACTGTCACGGATTGATTTTTGGATACAAGCAGCTGGTGTTGATGGGAGTTCGGAGGGTCAGCGCAGGCATCAGTTATCTTCACTGGAGGCAAGGTCTTATGATTTAAGGGAGGACATTTTTTCTGTTGTAGAGTCAGTTCTTCTATTTTTTCTTGCAACACTTTATTTGTGATGCCATTTTTTGACTTTTTGAAGGACAGTCTGTCATAAATAATGATGTTAACATAGGCACCAGTTTCTTCTTGAAAATCAGTTATGTTTTTAATGAATGTCTCAGGTGATATTTTATCTCGCAGGCAACCCATGGGGGAACACGTCAAGCTCTTAAGATTTTTTCTTTTAAAATCTTCAATTAGGCTCTTAAAAGCACTGCTGTAACTGTTTTCCGTAGGTTTGTTATAGTAATGGTTTTTGGTAATAAGCCCATATACAGAACTTCCATTTGTGTACTTCTGGTATGTCAAGTTTTTCGATATTTTGTTTGTTGCTTTTGGCTTCCCGAAATGCTCACCAAATATAGTTGCTACTCCGGCACTCATGTGTTTGGCGTCCCCCAGATCGTCAGAAATGCAATGGGCAAAGACAGCAGACTCATCAAACTGAAACTTTTTAATTACATTCTTCATATTGCCATTAATAATGTTTATATTGTCCCTGTTAAAATTTTCAGAGAAAACAACGTTCAGTGTTTCCTTTATTAGTTTAGCGATTTTTAGCTTTCCATTTTTGTTCAGGTGAAGGCCCTGTTTGGTATGATAAAATCTGTCAAACAGGTCTAGTTCAATCAAATATACAGAGTTCAGACGAGCTGCAAGCTCTTTGATGTAGTTGTTTACTTTATTGACTTTGCTATGAATATAATGGGATGGATTAAGATCATAACGGTTTGGAATGGTACATAAAATAACAGGCATTTTTCTGCTGAGAGAAATAAGGGAGTTCTCAAGTGTTTGATAAATCGAATTCACGTTGTCTTGAAGTGCATTGTTAGTCCCTCCTATGAGGACAAAGGCATCGCTTCGTGTAGAGTTTAAAGCAGCTTCTACTACATGTTCGAGTTTTGCGTTTGGCATTACATTTGCAGTCACATTAACGAAGTTGAGACACCCGTCAAAGTTTTCACTAATATTTCGCCCCTGGCTATCCGAAAATATTGAAAGGTTAACCGCTCTTTTTGATGGCACTAGCTGTGGAGGCTTGATTGACTTCGGTCCTCTTTTATTTTTATTGAGATGAGAGTAATGTTTCGGCAAACTGTTGTTTCCACTCATATTTAGGTCTTTGGTCTTTAAATCATTTCTCAGTAGTGCATACTTATTGGAGGTTGTAATTCCACTTGGTTCATCAACTTTTCCTTGACTGATCGGTATTTTTTTATTTTTGCTGGAGACCTTAACCCAGTCAGTCTGTGTTTCAGCATTAAGAGACGGTTTACTCGTACACTTGGCACTGGCAGGGATATTCTTGTTATTCATAGGCTGTAGTAGTAGGGCACTGACGAGACTGGAGTTGATATGAGTACTGTTGAGTAAAAGATAGGCAACTTGGGTTCGTTTAGTGAGAATGGTGGCTTCATTCAGTAGAGGGAAGGTGAGGTCACTGAAGGAGAGTGGAGAGTCAGGAGATTGCTGCAGTATGTAGTTAATTATTATTTCTGTGTAAGCAATTGTGAAGATTCCACAGTCATGATTATTCTCCTGTTGCGGTATTCCATCGACCAGTACAAAGTTGAAATCATGTTCTCTGTTTTCATTGAAATAGAGAAATACTTTCTTTGCCAATGTCTTAGCATGGTCAACATTATATTTATTCAGTGAGTCACAATATAAAAATCTGTCATAAAGGATGTCATAAATCAACAAGCTCCAATGCGTTCCGTTTCCCTTCACCTCATTAGTTTTGTTAACAGAGTTTTCATTAAGATCAGTACTGTCATTTACTGGTAAAAAAAGATATTTTGCATTTCTTACATTTAGACTGTCTAAAATAAAATCGTTGTCAGATAGCATCTTAATTGCCTGAGAGACTGTTGGATCAACGCATATTATTTGTTTACTTTTCAATACAGTGCTGTTTAACAGGTCAAAATACTTCCAGATAGTCCTATCTACAATCCAATTAGGTCCGAGAATGGTTATAATGTGTTCCAAAGTGTCAGAACCATTGAAGCTTAGTTTTTTAGTGCTGGTTATTGAGTCATTTGTCTCGCTACACCTCAAATGATTTTCAATGGTTAATACTGGGCTACTGTTAGCTAAGGGCCCAGATATCGAGTCTGATACACATTGGCTTAGTATTTCATTGATTTGTTCATTAGGTAATTTGTTATCATTTTCCATGTTACTTTCTGTGTGAATAGAAGAATCAGTAATTGAATGATTGGTGACAATTGAGTCGGTACCTTTACTTTTACCTAATGATTCATTTATGGAAGTTTTTAGGATTTTTTTTCATTAGGCTAGAGTCTGCCTCCTTTACAGCTATAGTAAAGGTTTTGGATTTTTGATACAGCTGGCAAAAACGAGCTTTATTTTCTGAGAACAAGCAAATGTCATTTTCTTTTATGTTTTTACCTATTTTATGTGAGCTATAAAAGGTTACAGAATATTTTGTAATATTTGAGGTTGTGTCAATTGAATCTATCCTTGCAGGCCAGTATGGATGGCCTTTAACTTTAGCAAATACTCTATCTCCTGCACTAAATTTATTTTTTTCTGGAGTCATTTTAGATGATAAACAACAACTTTGATATAAAAATATAATATATCAGAAGTTGTATAATGTAAAGAAAAAAAGAGAAATTCTCTTCACTTATATTCAAAATATACTCTTTACTTAATTGATCATTCCATCAAGCAAAATCACCTCACACCTTTATGTAATACAATTTAGGTATTTCATACAGGTGTGAGTATAACAAAAAGTTGCCCCCTGGTGGGGTTTTAATGAATTTATTTTACACTTTTAATTGAACTACTGAGGACATTACAATCACAGAGCTGCGCAGTGGAAATAAAGATGTTAAGTGTGGGCCCTGTAATTAAATATCCCAGAAGTCCGATTTATGGACCGTGAGAGGTCTGATATGTTGTCCTCCTTCACACCTTCTTCAGCTTAATTCTAACACTTCTTAAAACTAATAGATGTGTCTATTTGAACACTCCACGAATTAAAATGTGCTGTTCTGATGAAAGATTGTGATATGAATTGATACTCTGTAAAACTGTAAAATTGCAAATAATAATATTGAAATATTGATTGAAAATATTTGTGAAACTGTTTGTTCAGGAAATATTTATCAAAAGAATGACTTCAAGATGTTTATATATACTGGATTCGGTTAAGCCGATTGCTCATGAATTCACCAATTTAATATTAAATATTATGAACTGAGCTTATAAAAATTGCACTGTCAGAATATATTTACAAAATGTGATCATCTACACTCATTGTGAATACTTTGTATACCTCTTTCAGTTAAGCCATTTACCTCTTTACTTTACCAGTTTTATACTAATGATACTAACAGCTGAAACACAGGATAATGAAAAGATGGTGATTTGTAAAAATACTGTATAATGAGTCGAATTGAGCTGTGATACAAGTAACAAATATAAACGATGTAATAACCTTTTTTGTGCACAATTTAACAATATTTTGAAAGAGAGAGTGAGAGAGTTGATTGTAAGATTGAATGCTCAAATTGGCGGTTTGTTCATTTTTTTTAAAACTGCAAAGTCTCAGGAAAACCTAGCCTTGATGATTTTATTTATTTGTTTTGGATCACCAGACTCCCCAAAGATGTTCGTAATTATCAAACTGGCCAGTTTACAATTTAATCAAACAGGGACTATTATGTAGGTTTGTGATCTACATCACTCCTTGCTGATCAGTGCAACGGGGCCAATCGACTGCTGAGTCGATTATTTGATAATTTTTTTTTTTTTTAGTATTTAATATTTATGAATTTAATGGGAGTCTATCCTCATGACCCTTTATCAACCCTAGCCTTCGACCGAGCACTCTGTTACCCCCATTTACGTTACACAATCAAACTCTCACTATTAAAAAAAATGTAATACTGTTCAAAAATTATTCTACACATGAAATTCAAACGTTTTAAATAATAATACTGATGATGATAGAATCTGACTTTACATAGAATACAAAAATAATAATATCACAGATATAATGTGATATAATGCTCTTTAAATTAATATACCATTTCAATTCAATTTAATAAATAATTTTCATTTGACTAGGTTCACCATTATAACTTAAATTCTTTGTATGACATGATCAAATTTAATAAAACATTTTATCCTGAATCGTGACCATGTGCTCTAAGTAGACCAAATGAAACACGAAAATCTCAGACCAAACAAAACATGATTCATAACTTGTAAAACGAGTGGTACATGTGAAAAAATGTGGCAGATTGGCAAGACTATTTTAATACTAAAACACAAATAACACAAACATTTACTTACGTACACATGTCGACACATACACATTCATTCCGACGAAGATTCACGCGTACCGAACATTTAAAAACTGACTCGTGGTAATTTGTGACTTTTTGTCTGACCGAGCGGAACATCACGACACGGTTTTTTCTGGTGTAGGACTTATTAATTCTTGTTTTTTCGAGCTGGCGTTTAATGATTCAATTGAAAATACCGTCACGACGACCCGCGATTCGCTAGAAACTGACATTTGCTATCGGTATGATGCATGTACGAATTTTCATCACGAACGCGAACAATCAATCCGGCATCTCAACTGTCTCGACTTAATACTAATAAAACACACCCCCAAATGCAATTCGGCGAAATTTTGACAATTGCGATCGTTTGATGCACGTACAATTTCCGCCCGAACGCTAATTTCCGAGCTACGAATTAAGATATTAATGAATTTGTCCTACACCAGCGACAAAACGCGACTTCACATGTTGACTACGCGAGTACTGAGCCACGAGTGACGAGGACGACGAGACGCTTTGCAGACGACGCGGTTCCCCGGTCTTCGTATCCTTCCGCGTTACGTCATGTTGGACTGACTTGTCCATTGCCTGTCGCGGATTTTGAATCTTTTGATTTAAAAATCGGCACAATAAACCCACCAGATGCTTGTAGACATAAAGGATATTTTACTCTGCAACAATGAGGTTATCCGAACTATCCTTGTTAAGAACAGTTGTCATAATTGCTATTGTATATCATTGGTTTGGTAATCAGTAGTAACCACAGAATATTTGAGAGCATCTAGGACTTTGATGATTAGCAATTAAGTTGGTGAATATTGTGAGTATCACTAATTCACAATCAATCTAAGAAATTAGAAAAAAAAACAATGTTATTACATGCTGAAACTCAAACCTAAGACAATCTTTACTCTCACACTCATTAGCTTCTTAATATATGCCATGAATCAACTTCTGGAAACTTAATTTATGTTGAAAACATACCAAATAGTACATGTGAAACCCTTTATAATTTGGCAAAAATTGTTCAACTTACCAACATAATTTTGAATTAGTAATATCTCTGGTATCACATATTGTTGGGCTACATTGGAAAGTTGTTGCCTAAAATGGAAAGTTCAACGTTGGGGGATATCGCTTTACATTGTATTGGCCCTCTGATGGAATAGTTAACTAATTGGACATTGTTAACAGGTCCAATTAAAAGCCTCTGAAATTGAAAAAAACACTTGAAATTATATTGATGATTTGATATTTAAATGGATGCAAATATGCGTTACCAAGAGTAGGCTTACCAGATACGGGTCTGGCGGGTTTACTGCAAGCATCGCCAGAGTAGCATGTAATTGCCGCCTGTTCCATGGCATCCAGTAGCTCTATCTGAGGTAGACTAGGCCAACAGCACACTTGGTTGTGACTCAGGTCTAGCTGCTTGAGGCTGGCAGGGTACGATGTCATGTGGCCCATACTGCGCAGGCTACATACCAACAGTACAGTCAATCAGTCCTCCATGGTCGAAATACTCGGAGTATACTGTATTGCCCTTGATCCTCCAATTGGGGGATCTCTTAAACCTTAATCATGGAAACCGTTATATTGACTTTTAACTAATGTTATACACATATGACCACATGAGTAACATTTTTAATAAGATGGCTAAAAATCGTGAGTAATAATTGGAAAGAAATTCCAAATACTAATTGAATACCCTTTGTTAACTGTTGAAAGCCAGTTTGAATCTAGTGAGGTTGACTGCCAGAGGCCAGTGTATTTGGTATGGAGTTAAACTGGTTGTGTGCCAGGTTGAGAGCTGACATATGTCTACAGTTAGGTTTAATATCCTAGTCAGTACCTGTTGTAGGCCAGGATGAGTCTAGTGAGGTTGACTGCCAGGCATGCCAGTTTATTGGGTATGGAGGTGAACTGGTTGTGTGCCAGGTCGAGAGCTGACAGATGACTACAGTTAGGTATAATATCCTAGTCAGTACCTGTTGTAGGCCAGGTTGAGTCAAGTAAGGTCGACTGCAAGGCAGGCCAGTGTATTGGGTATGGAGGTGAACTGGTTGTGTGCCAGGTCGAGAGCTGACAGATGACTACAGTTAGGTATAATATCCTAGTCAGTACCTGTTGTAGGCCAGGTTGAGTCAAGTAAGGTCGACTGCCATGCATGCCAGTGTATTGGGTATGGAGTTGAACTGGTTGTGTGCCAGGTTGAGAGCTGGCAGATGACTACAGTTAGGTATAATATCCTAGTCAGTACTTGTTGTAGGCCAGGATGAGTCTAGTGAGGTTGACTGCCAGGCAGGCCAGTGTATTGGGTATGGAGGTGAACTGGTTGTATGCCAGGTTGAGAGCTGACAGATGACTACAGTTAGGTATAATATCCTAGTCAGTACCTGTTGTAGGCCAGGTTGAGTCTAGTGAGGTTGACTGCCAGGCAGGCCAGTGTATTAGGTATGGAGGTGAACTGGTTGTGTGCCAGGTTGAGAGCTGACAGATGACTACAGTTAGGTATAATATCCTAGTCAGTACCTGTTGTAGGCCAGGTTGAGTCTAGTGAGGTTGACTGCCAGGCAGGCCAGTGTATTGGGTATGGAGGTGAACTGGTTGTGTGCCAGGTTGAGAGCTGACAGATGACTACAGTTAGGTATAATATCCTAGTCAGTACCTGTTGTAGGCCAGGTTGAGTCTAGTGAGGTTGACTGCCAGGCAGGCCAGTGTATTGGGTATGGAGGTGAACTGGTTGTGTGCCAGGTTGAGAGCTGACAGATGACTACAGTTCTGCTGATTATTTTCATCTCCACTGCTGATTTGCTCCATGACTTGTACACTGCGACTCCACAAGTTGTGTTGGACCAGGTTTAGTAATCTACAAATGGCAATTCATATTGTAACTCATTCCTAGATAGCACTAAAAAGTTACTCCTGATAAATCATGAATTTGTCTTCAACAGGATTAGATTAGAATGCTGATTGTATGATCCAAGTTCCAAACTAAAATTCAAATATCTGCTTGTAAAAGAACTGATTTTGTTGAGCCAGATCGTTACTAGACTGCCAGATATCCAGAGTAGCTTGAGCTATTACAATCATCATATTATATTTTAAAACGTGACAGGGTTTTTTTTATTTCATGATTCTGAATCAACCACTTGACTGATTTTCATGATTTTGTTGTTGAAAGAATGATAATTTTGAGAACTAGGGAATGTCGAAGCCATAGTTTTAGTTTAGGGTTTCAGTTTGTATAAATTAAGTTTTAATTTTTTTAAAGTCTGGCAGCCGATTCTAACATTCAAGACTAGCTTTTGGTATAATACCATTTGCTTAACGTAACAGCTGTAAACATTCAGCGTTTGTGACACAAGTTAAGCATTTGGATAAAAATTAGATGACATAAGTAGGGCTGACTTATTTATACTATGTATAATGCTATAATCATTGATACGTTCATTTATTTGGTAAGAGGATGACAGATTATTTAAATTTACAGTAAAATCTTTGACTATTAATACAGCAATAGTATCCTTCAGTATCCAACAGTTAATAGTAAAATGCTAGATGTTCTAATATATATATATATATTTTAGAGCAGATTTTAGAATCTTTGTTTTAGTGTAATTATTACTTTAAACTTACAGCTGGATATATATATATATATATATATATATATATATATATAAATATTCTATAGAACAATGAGGATATTATATTTAGTCTATGACTTTAGCATTGGATAAAGAAAATATGTAAGATTAGTAGAGATGAGTAGACAATAGAGATGACCAAGACCATTGCTGTATACTGTGCAAATCGAGGCTCTACCCACGAGTCTTCAAAGAAAAGCCTAAGCAAATTATTTTACTGCTTGAATTTTTTAGAGTAGGAAGATAACAATGTTAACAAGTTTTAATTAATCTTGGCAGCGTTTTGTTTACAATAAATGTTTGACTGTTTTAACTTTGTTTGAATTAGGCCTGAAAATATTGATGTTATCAAACAAGGAGATCAAGGATGACCAGGAATAATTTTGTAATTTTATATTACTATCAAACCTCTAACGGTTATCCAGAGATAAACAGATGGATGGCATAGATTAAACACAATGTTATCACTGACCTAGGATACAGCAAGTAGACTTACTATCCTTTTGTAAATTCTAAAATGTTTGGGGTGTGTTCACGTGTGGTTACGTTTGGGTGCGCTGATGTATGCAAAATATCACATTTATTTAAACTATATCTTATATAGTTTGAATAAATGAGTATGACAAATTAGGATTTATATAGATTCAAATGACAGTGGGTAACTATCACGGATATTAGAACGGATAACGGTATAGATAATAAACATAGAAAAATTATGTCATTTTAAAATAAACAGCTGCTTTAAAACAAACTATATGTCATTTTTTGTACTTTTCTTTGTTTAATTATTTATTTAGCAATTAATGCAGTGAAATTGATATAAAGGATAGGTATGGACGATTTACTTGTATAAATCGCTTCTATTGTTGGATGATGATTGCATGTTCTTTTTCGTTGTAGAGTACTGTTCACTTATTACATTACTATTTCTTAACTGCTGAAAGTCATTTAAATATACTTTTCACTCATACAAAATAATAAAACTAAATTGCACCACTTAACTTCATTCAATCTTTATAGCTACTTAGCAGACGCACAGGCACAGCCTATGTCTGCTATAGGAACAACCTTTGACACATGTATATAGTTAATTAGTTATAGTTAATTAGTTTAGTTTTGCACAAAACCCTTTTTTTTTCTTTTGTACATTTGGTTGTGTAATTTTATATATGTGGTGGAATAAATTCGTAATTCATTCATTCATTCACTTAATAATGTCAAAACTATGTCGGCATACCAAACTTTTGGTTAGTAAAGCAAATGTCAATTGGTGTGGTTAGTCTATAGAAGACTGTCCAATAAGCTGCAGGGTGCCAGTCATACCATACCATATTATCCCAGTAGTACTATAGTTCAGAAACTTGGACCCTGACCAAAGAACCAAATATTCTTATTGCTGGGTTTGAGAATGGAGTGCCAGTGCAGAGAAAATATACGGACCATTTCAAGATAACGGCAGTTGAGATACGAAAGAACAGACAGCTAAGAGGAATGTTTTAAACACCCAGATATATGGGTGCTTTCCAGAAGTAAAAGGCTCGGATGGACAGGCTATGCATGGGGGAGGAGATACACCAACTTTAAAAAATTTATTCAAAGGAGTACCGCAAGTAAGACGACCACTTGGAGGACCTAGCAATGAAAGACTTCTCCAGACTGGGATCAACATTAGAAAGTGGCAAGGGATATAAGACAATGGGAAGCAAATTCTCTTAAGATTTCAGTGGCCACTGAGGTAAAATAAGGTACTATATGTAGTGAAATTATGCATTGGAAGCTGGTGTAGCTACTGGTAAAGCAGTAACCAGTGTATGTGAATCGACCACCAATCTCACTCACAAGGCTTTTCAAATCAACACAATCACTGTTTTAATGTAAAATTAATGGATTTAAAATGCATATCGTATAGGCCTCGGATGAAAGAAATAGGCCTAGGTGGCTACGTGATATTTGTTTACAAGATGATTTTCCCTGTTAAAACTGCCAGAATGGTTCTTTATGCGTGTAAGTATGTTCAGTTTTAATCGACTATTTTATTACCGTACGTAGGACAGGCCAACAGCTAGTATATAATTAATGTTTGCTAAAATAATATTTCATTACCTTACCTTATACAGCTAACTGAACGAGAATTTAGTACATGATTTGTTTAACTACTTGGGCAGTTGGATGTACACTGACCGAACGTTTCTATCCTTGGGAGTGCTGTCATGGTCGGGCGTGGGAGGAGGGAGAGGAGAGTCAGCCACAGAGCTGAGCTGAGAGTCTACACTGCGAGATGACTCGATGGAGCACACACTGGCCGAGTCACTCATGTCCTGTGTGTCAATAGTCAGTGAAAGTAACACATTAAATTGATTCTTAGCATTTAAAAAGAAAGCCCCTGACACTTTGTTTGGCTTATACATTTATCATTTGACAACTCAATTACTAATTATAATTTGACATACTTGGTAATCAGACACTGTGTTCAGGTACTGTGACACTGTGTCGCCTCTTTGTGGCGACAGGAGTCTCATGATTTCCATTCTGGTTCTACAGTCCTAGCAGGTAGGGAAGTGGAACAAGAGGTTTAGTCTAATGACATGATAAAGAAAGCTCCTGAAACTAGACATTCTGTCAATTAAAGGGAAATAAGTGATCAAACTGATAAATTTAAACCCTAAAGGGTCAGAGTACATAAAGAGAAAACACAGGAAATACACAATATGTTTTACCTTAGTTAAACATTCAATATTTAATTTTCTTCAGATGATTCGTCAAATTTAGAATTTGATAAGGCAAAAATAAAATACTAAATTCAACTTGATTCATTTTTTAGAGTAAAATAAAACAATGAAGTGTGTAAATTTTTAAACTTTTGGCGTTACTAACATCTGGTTGAAGAGTAGGTAGATCTCTGAGGAGGTTGAACGCTGCATTGAGCTCCTTGAGTTTGGGAGCTCGCCACATTCTGTGAGGCAAACAGGAGAGTTTGTTGTTGGATACATCCAGAGTCACAAGTCCTGGCAACACAAACACCTCATCTGGCAACACCTCCAGTCTGTTGTACTGCAACACAACAACAGAACCCCCTTGTACTTCGGCTTGGTAAATACATTATGTGAGCCATGTTTAAACATAACCATAGACAAATAGAATAAATATAGACTGTCAAAGGAAGGTTCCGCGATGTGCCACTAGGAGTGCCGTGTAGTTACGGCGCACACCGCTGCAGGCGTCGTAGACTATTTGCCGTATGCTACCAGCAGACGCTGCAGCGGTGTGCGCCGTAACTACACAGCACTCCTAGCGGTGTGCGCTGGAACATATGCTAACAGCAGCACTGCTGACGGTCTATATTTATTCTATTTGTCTATGATATAAACTAATTGCTAATTTATCAGAAACTTTGTAAAATGCTTAGATGACAAGATTTTTTAATTGAGTCACAATCAACAACGAAACAAACAGTACTAGTCTGTTGAACCAAGAATGATTACAACATCTGTTGAAAATAAACCACTGACATAAAAGCTTTATTCCCAGTTGGGGACACCTTCTATCATTATCAGTAATTCATTGGATGTTGATGTGGGTGACTGTGTTAACACTGACCTGGAGATACAACTCTTCCAACAGAGGAGCAGAGTACAGCTTGAGATTGTGTCTCAGTTTCTTCTTTCTATTGTTGTCATCCCACTGTGGCGAATCCTTGTCACTGGGCAGCTTCTCTATCTTGTTATGTGCAAGATTCAGGTACCTGGAACAATCAGGGACTCATTTGATGGATTTTTGTTCAAAGTTAAAATTTCAAAAAATCTATATACTTAATGTAAAAAAGGTTTTCTCTGTAACATTCCTTTTTCACCAATCCTCCTTAAGTGATATTTAAAAACTGAGGTGTTATTTTAAAGCTAATAATCTAGCGCAGGGACAAATGGTAGCTAAACAGGAATTTCCTTTAGTACTTCGCCCCCCAAGCTTTTGATTTATTTCCATACGGTGCTTTTAAAGATCCCGTGATCGTGTATGTTGGTTATCTCATACCGTGATAATGATCAAATTTAGATAATAAGTACTGTAAATTATTTTAAGAAATATATTTTGCGTATAATTATTGTAAATATTTTAAATTACAGTAGGCCTAATTGAAATAATGTTAAAAATACCCCCGCCGCAGCAAACCTGCATACTAAGCGAATTTCCATTTGTCTGAGTTGATTTTTAAATAAATCTATCTACTTAAATAACATAAGACTGAGTACCTAGGTTTGCTGCTACAAAGAAACTAATAAAATGTATTTTTTAGTAAAATATTCATAGCTTAGTATAAAACAAATAAATTTGCTAAGTTTGATCAAAATATATCCATAAACTAAACAAGCAAACAACAACATTTTAAAATATTCTCCATAAGAATAACATGGGAATTTTAAATTTACAATTTTTTGAATTTTCTCCGTTACCTATAACCGTACAAAAACACTTTAATATACTAAATTATTTGTTTTTTTAAGCTCTTTAAAAAGGTCTAGAGATAAATTGGGAAATTTTGTATTTTGAGGGTCAAAAATGAGAAAACCCATTTTTTACCCCATAAAACCCCCCGTAAAACCCCATTCCCATGGTCCGATCATGCTGCTTCGCGAACTCATTCAAGTTTATTCCGCGTTACACCTTTAAACTAAATTTCATCAAAATCGGACAAAAATTACTCAAGTTATCGCGTTCACGGACGTATATATATATATATATACATATATAAAAATTTGAACGAATGGTGTTTTTAGCCTCTGGGGACATCAAAATGAAAAAGTAAATCGGTCCCGGGCCTGGGTCTTACCGTGCCACCTACGGTAATAGCTACTTCCCTATAGGGAAATTCGCTAATAGTTGTTGTAGACCTCTTTTAACCGAAATAGTCTTTGAATTCTAAAAATTGATAAACTGAACTTATAAGTAATTTGAAACGGCATCACCTCTTCATTTTGCTTGGTCAGTGTTAGTCTACTGACCTGAGACTCTGCAGCTGGAAGACCACAGGAGGCAGCCAAGTGAGGGAGTTGTTGGACACATCTATCCTGGTGATGGCATACAACACCACATCTTGACTGCGAGGGTTCAGACGTAACTTGGGGTTGACATGGAGCGCTGCATCTACCTGCAACCGACATCAATTTTTGCATGTCTACTGTCTAATCCATCAGGGTTGCAAGAGGTTTTAACTTTGTTGGAGGAGCGAGGAAGAGAAAAATTTCCCCACAAGGTAGGAGGAGAGGCACAATTGTCTCTCAGATCCATAGCGCACCACATGCAAACCATGGGTCTGGTCTGATCTTCTTTTGAAATAGAAGTTTATTTATTTAAAAAGGGTTTTATTTTTAGTACAGTAGAGTCCCCATTATCCGATCTTTGATCGCCTCTAAACAACCGAGTACTGTGAGACATTGATGTGTCAAGACAACCCTTTAGCCATCCCTGACTGAGCTCAAAGATGGGGCAAGCTTTAGTTGCCTGCAAATTGACTGCAATTAACCCTTTGTTTTCCCACACTTGCACACCACTATAGATAAAGATACCACACAGTCCACCTAGTTCTCATGCCTTATTTTTGGCTTAGTGGACAAGTATTGCTTTACCTTATAGTTAATTTTGTTTCAGTAGTGGTGCTTTTACTTTGTTGTTTATCTTTTAAACAGTGATGATTGGTTGAAAAAAAACCTATGGAGTTAATTTGCTTATTGTGAAATTATTAATGTGTATTTTAAAATTTTTTCGTTTCAATAATAAACTTTATTTTTTATTTTAGTGAATTATTTTTCATGTTTCAATTTTTTTCTCTATTGTCTTACCTCTCTGCGTATCTGATCTTGCCACAGTCGAGTAAGAAATATATTCAATTTGTTTTCATACAATTCTTAAACAAAACCTCTAGTTAGAAATTTAAAAAATATACATATACATATGGCTTTATTAGGCTGAATGGCTAATGACAACACAGGCACCTGCAAACTGATCCATCCATATGAGATTATTCAGACAGTTTATTATTTCTACAAATTGATTGTTAAAGATCAAACTAAACTGTCTCAATTTAAAATTCACAAGATAGTTGCAAACTAAGGCACTGACCAGCCACTGAGGTCGTATCTGGGTGAGTTGACAACGCTGACAATGCCAGTTGATCATGACAGGCGTGTTGGCAAACATGTTGCTGTATGTGAGACTCTGTACACTGAACTGACCACTGGCTGCTGGGATCTGCTCGCTCATAGCCTTTTTGTTGATCCTATTCTCAGGGTCAGGGTGGGCCTACACACATCACAAGAAAAAAACAACTTATGAATAATTAGATGAAATTGCCTTAATTGCAAGCAAATCTGAGTTACAGCCTGATTTTTCCAGGACATCATCAGTAAAATATCTAATATATAAAATTCTCGTGTCACAGTGTTTGTCTGCAAACTCCTCCGGAACGACTTCACCGATCGTTATGAAATTTGGTGTGTAAATTCTGTAGGTATGCGAGTCGGACGTAAACTATTTCCCGTTTCGAAATTCTTAAAAGGGCTCCGCCCCAGTGGCTCTGGAGTTTCCCATGTTAACCTTATGAGAAATGGAATTAATGAATCTTAACAGCTGTTTCAATTAAACAAGTTGGTTCTGTTCTATGATGTTCAATAGCATTAAAGTTACAAGGATTACCAACAGGGTGCAGCACTATTATTTCTTTTACATTTATGACAACAGCTAATTTGCAACCAAAAGGTGAGTGAGCGTAGCGAACGAACTTCAACCTGGAGGCGAGTTAGCGTAGCGAACGAGCTAACCTGAAGGCAAGTGAGCGCAGCGAACGAGCTCCAACCTAAAGGTGAGTGAGCGTAGCGAACGAGCTCCAACCCAAAGGTGAGTGAGCGTAGCGAACAAACTTCAACCTGGAGGCGAGTTAGCGTAGCGAACGAGCTAACCTGAAGGCAAGTGAGCGCAGCGAACGAGCTCCAACCTAAAGGTGAGTGAGCGTAGCGAACGAGCTCCAACCCAAAGGTGAGTGAGCGTAGCGAACGAACTTCAACCAGGACGTGATTGAGCGATGCGAACGAGATCATCTTGAAAATTAAACGTAACGGTACTTTCTTTCCATCGGTCTGTCTTAGGGGAAACCTATAACTTAGGCGATACGAAGTTCGCCGGGTCAGCTAGTATATATATATAGTCATAAAATAAGTAAAAAGCTAAATAACTGGAAATAAAACACAATGCATTAAGAAGGGAGCAGTTGTACAGGGTGTTTCACGAGAGGTGTCTCAAATTGATTACGGAAAAACGGCTTAACGTACAAGGATGAAATAAAATTATTTCCTGCTAAATCGACCCCAAAGGAATAACGTAAAAATATTTTTAACTTTTTTATTTTTTCAATACAGGGTAAGCCAAAAACTGAGGGTCACTAGTTCGAATCTCGGAATTTTCAAATTTAAACATATGTCATGTTATACATTATTATAAAGGTATTTGATAGACAAACATTTTGGCGAAAACAGAAATTAATTATCTTTTTCCGTTTCAAAATGGCGGCAGTTTTTTTAATCTGTGTTTCCTATACTAATGCATTTGGCGCTTCTCCGGTTGAATTTCCTTACTCGTTATGAAATTAGCTTTACTTTGATATGTACAAGCAACGGTTATTTGAAATGATAAAAATTCCAAAACAATTATTTTGGAAAATTTGCGAATGCTCATTTTTCAAAAATTTAAAATAGCAACATATGTCAAGTGGCACATCATTTTATAGGTTTTTTAATTCCTAACAACTTTGTAATTTACACTTACTTCGTATCTCTTTTAGTTTTTGCGTAAATAACAAAAAACCTAATTTTCCTATATCAAATGCATGTTATTTGGGTATGACGTGGTTTATGGGGCCTTCACTGTTAAACCCAAATAACATGCATTTGATATAGGAAAATTAGGTTTTTTGTTATTTACGCAAAAACTAAAAGAAATACAAAGTAAGTGTAAATTACAAAGTTGTTAGAAATTAAAAAACCTATAAAATGATGTGCCACTTGACATATGTTGCTATTTAAAATTTTTGAAGAATGAGCATTCACAAATAAAAAAAAAATTTTTTTTTGAATTTTTATCATTTCAAATAACCGTTGCTTGTAGCATATCAAAGTAAAGCTAATTTCATAACGAGTAAGGAAATTCAACCGGAGAAGCGCCAAATGCATTGGTATAGGAAACACAGAGTATTAAAAAAAATAGATTTAAAAAACAAACTGCCACCATTTTGAAACGGAAAAAGATAATTAATTTCTGTTTTCCTCAAAATGTTTGTCTATCAAATACCTTTAAAATGATGTATAACATGACATATGTTTACATTTGAAAATTCCGAGATTCGAACTAGTGACCCTCAGTTTTTGGTACACCCTGAATTGAGAAAAAGTTAAAAATATTTTTATGTTATTCCTCGGGGTCGATTTAGCGGGAAATAATTTTATTTCATCCTTGTACGTTAAGCCGTTTTTCCGTAATCAATTTGAGACACCTCTCGTGAAACACCCTGTATAAGTAAACCCAGATAAATGTATTAATTGGAAGAATTCAAATTCCTAGGACTAGTTGTAAGCTATGCAAGGCATGCTGAGTTGGAGGCAATTTGTCTATGAGGTGAAACACTTTTACAGTTTGAGTGGCCATGAGGTGAAACACTTTTACAGTTTGAGTGGCCAGGAATGTGCAGTATGTGTCTGGCCACACAGTCATGGACCATTTTACCTTGATGGACAGAAGTTTGGCTGTGAGGATATCATCCTTGTTGGTGACGACGACAGCGAGTGCCCTGGAGTCATCGTCTCTAGCTCCGTGTCTCAGCAGCAGATCCACAGTGGCGATGTCACGGTTGATACAAGCCTGCTCAAGCGCAGTCATAGCCTCATCACAGCCCGAACGTACCTGCTGGCCTACCATTGGCTGCAACCACAGTTAATAAGCATAACTCTATTAATGAGTTTTAAATTCTGGGAACTAAACTCCAAAACTAAATCAATACTGATAGCAAAGATATTGTTATTTCTTATAAACTATTGTATCTGATCTTCAGTTATCCTTCCATGTTTTTTTTAACCCTCCCTGCGAGGATCGCTTGCTATTTCAATGTGGTATGACTGTATATTATTGAGATATATATTTGGAGGATACGCACCAGGCTTTGTTTGTCAACTCCTAATACCTACATACCAACTCAACACATCTTAGTCGCGGTGTGAACAGAGACCTCTTATGAGAGGACAAGTACTGAGACTCAATATTGTATAACACATTCATTGTTTTTTAAGAAAGTTCAGCATATCTTACAACAATTTTTGTGCATTAGTATTTCATAATAAATCTATTTATAATTTCACTAATTACTATGTTTGAGTAGTACACTTGTTAATATGTACAACAAGTACCATAGTTTATTAGTGAGGAATGAATGGGACGATACCTTTATAAAACTCTCTAATATAGCCTGATTCTATAGCCAGAACCATTCATCAAGGAGCACAACAGCTGGGATCAAAGACAGTTGGGTCCAAGTTTCCACCATCAAAAAGCACAGCTGGGTAGCAGTAAGCTGTATCTACTACTACAGTACCTGGTCAGTGAGAGGTCGTCGTGTGGCAAGGTTGGGATTGGCTCCAGCTGCTAAAAGCAGTCCCGCAATGTCCCCGTGGCGACCACGCACCGCTACGTGCAGAGCAGTCTCTGAGCCGTTGCTGCAGTAAGCATCCAGGTCCCAGGGACACACCAGGCGTTCTGTGCCCTCTGTAGTTCCTCTAGCACTCAGGTTCAGACGGGACATGATGCCGAGGATGCCGTCGGAGATGCGACGGCCTCGGGTCGGGCTCACTACTTCATCATCTTCTTCGCCCTCCCCATCGGTCGTCTGCTCCTACACAGATAGACGCAATGGAACTGGTCAGTAACCATGCTTGGTGTGAAATAAAAACAGTAGGCTAGTTACAGGTTGTAATTTAATATCCTTCGATTATGTCCTTAAAACTCTGAATATGAAGTGTTTCTATTTCAGTAAACCTTCTAACAGCACATTTTTAACAACTTTATTGGGTTTTATCATTGACTATTGGTTTTATACTTGCTGTGAATGTAACATGATCTTAATTTTAAGAGTAAATTTAGACTGAAAGTTTCAAATGTCTTCACAAACAATGTTTAACCAAAAGTTGGAATAATTATAAGTGCAGTATTTATATATTTTGTGTGTGAAAAATCCAAATGGGGCAAAAACCATTTTTAGTGTACTCATTGTTGTGGCTTGCCCCTGAACTGGTAAGACAAATATAAAATAATAGTGGTTTGGTTACCTTTACTTTCGTCCCAGTTCAATAAAAAGTTATAATATCTACAACCATGGTTTCGACGCTAGTTGCGTCATGGTCACGTAGTTAGCAAGTCGAGAAGTATCTTGTCATAGTCGGTCGCTTGGACGTCGTCATATTTACACAAACACGGACACGGACATAAACACACACGTACATTGATTAAAATAAAAGGTTCTCGTGGACGGAACACAGGCCTGTGGTGAACAGTTAGCCTACAGGACGAGTCCATGTCCAAAGAAGGTGCAAGGGTCATGTAATCACAGACGCCGTCGCCCTCAGTGTTCTCCTGCCGGCTCCCGCGACGGTACAAGTTATAGAAATTGTATAGAATTGTATAGAATTGATTTATATTCAGTGTTTGTGTAAATATGACGACGTCCAAGCGACCGACTATGACAAGATACTTCTCGACTTGCTAACTACGTGACCAACTAGCGTCGAAACCATGGTTGTAGATATTACTACTTTTTATTGAACTGGGATGAAAGTAAAGGTAACTAAACCACTATTATTTTACATTTTTAGTGATTTAACAATGTCTATTTTTGACATGTTTCCCTCATCTAATGGAAACACAAGTTTTTTGATGGAGACACTTAGGCCTACACAGTAAGGATAACAAAAAAGTAGCAAAATTCCTGATTTGAGGTTAACATTACAAAGGATTCACCCATCCCATCAAGTTCGACCCGATCCATTGTACAGTTTGGCCAAAATTTCTGTGTGTGCAACCATATCTGGTTGGGTCTAGATTGCAAGGGGGTTGGCGGAGGTACTTTTGTGAAAACATTTGTGTTTTGCTACTCATTCTCCTCTACCACCAGCACTGCCAATAACCGGTAGCCGTATGATTTAGTTCGGCTAGTAGCGACCCGTCCTCGCCCACAGAAGTTTTGGCCGAAAAACAATCCCGAGCTTGTGCCTAACGCCCTAGGACAAAAAAAAACCAAACGGTCCTTAGGTTTGTTCTTTTGGTATTTTATGTCACCAAAAAATAACACCATCAAAATAATAATACACAGGTTTTGTTTAAATTGTAATGATAAGTATAAACGGACACTACTTATAGTAAAAATGTATATTAACAAATTTATAAAATAGAAAAAACCTCCATTAGTTTATCATACATAGTAGCCCCAATAATAAACTGAGCAAAGTTAAGTAAATAAAACATCAAACTTAAATCATATCCTCCCAGTTTGTATGGAAAGTTATCAAGAGAAGATCGTTTTGTAGCATTTAATTCTTCATTAGATGTAAGGTCTGCTTCAGTCTGGTTTGAGGTTTCATCTGACATTTGTCCAATTGCAGAGTGTTGTTCACTGTACTCATCGGAATGTTGATGTTTTAATTCAGTATATATTTTATCCGCATCTTGAGAAGACTCTCCGTCTTTTGAACGTGTAAGTCTTGACTCGGTTTTTCTTGACCTTTTCAATAAGTTTTTTAAGGGATTACCAAGCTTACTTTTTGTAGATCTTTTGGGTTTCTCCACTATGTTTCCCTCACTCGATACATCTTCAGGTATTGTATCAGTATCTTGATCTTTTTCAATATTTCCTTGTTTTTTTGTTCTTGATCCCATCTTGGCTAATGCTTTTTTCAGCTTTGACATTTGCTTTATTTGTACATTCTGTGGTTGATTTTCAGATTTGCTTTCAAGTTTTCCTGTTTTTGCTGGTTTTATTTTATTAACACCTGATTGCCTAACAATTGATCTTTTTGATTGATTTATATTAGATACACTAGTGTGCAACAAACTTTCTCTTGATTCATTGAAATTTGGTGGGGATGAAGCCAAACGGTTTGGGCTTGTATCATTATGATATCCTCTATTTTCTATTGCAATATTACCTCTGAGTACTGAACTATGTTCTTTTTCAGGGACAAAATCTTGTTTATTGGAGCTTTTTAGGATACTTTTAGCTTTCACTTGACTTTTACCCACATCTTTGTTACTTTGAGCTACACTACTTGGCCTTTGCAAATCCCTTGTGTTTTGCTTATCTGATTTCATCATTTGATCACTAATTACAAAACTCTGAGGTTTTTGAGACATGGGCCTACTGCTTTGATAGGTATTTTTCTTTAAGTCTTGTTCTTCTGATGATTCTAATACATATTTTTGATCCATTATGCTCTTTCTTTCTCCGGCAGCATTACTCTGCCTTGCAACACTTTTACTTTGGCTTCCTTGTCTTGTGTTATTGCGCTTCACTAAACTCTGGTTTTCTTTGTCCTGAATTCTCTTTGACCTATTATTATCCAATGTGTCATATCTGCCCTCAAAACTTTGTTCTCTCGTAGCCACATTACTTGACCTTGCTAGGCTTTTGTTATCCCCTGGTGTACTTTTAAGCCTACTATCTTGAATCTGTAAAGTTTGATCTCTTTGAGCTACACTACTTGTTGTATTATACGTTTTTTTTTCGAGTGGTATATCTCTTCCTACTGAACTCCGGCCTCTTTGATCTACACTACTTTTTGTATCATACGTTTTGGTTTCGAGTGGTATATCTCTTCCTACTGAACTCCGGCCTCTTTGAGCTACACTACTTTTTGTATCATACGTTTTGGTTTCGAGTGGTATATCTCTTCCTACTGAACTCCGGCCTCTTTGAGCTACACTACTTTTTGTTTCATACGTTTTGGTTTCGAGTGGTATATCCCTTCCAACTGAACTCTGGCCTCTTTGAGCTACACTACTTGTTGTATTATATGTTTTATCCCTTTTTACTGAACTCTGACCTCTTTGGGCCACACTTTGCTTTGTAACACTTTTACGGGTGCTTTGCCTTTTCGTTTCGATTGCTTTATCTTGATCTTCAAAACTCTGATCTCTCGCTAGAGAATCCTGCCTTGCTAAAATATATTTCAAGTTCTTTTCATCTGTTTCTAATATTTCATTATTTTTTTTTACACTTTTCCTACCTTGACTTGCTCTTCTTTTCTCAAATTCGTCTGAGTCTGTTTCAAGTATCTTGTTTTGATCTCTTTGAACTACACTACTTTGTCTTGTTGTGATTTTACTGGTTCTTGGTCCTTGTTGTCCCACTGCTTGACTCTTTCTCAGGACACTCTGATTTCCTAAAGGAATACTGGTTCTACTTAAGAAACTTTTTTGAGCTGTTTGTTTTTCCATGTTTGGTATTTGATTCTCGCCTGCAACACCATAGACTGTCTGGTCAGCTGCTTTATTTCTCCCTGCTTCACTTTTTCTTAATTTACTCCTTATCAAATCATTGTTTGCAACACTCTGAGACCTTGAAACTACACTTTTTTGTTTCACTAAACTTTGTCCTTTTGTTCCCATCTTTTGATCATTAACAATTGAGCTTTGCTCTTTCTGTTGAACAACACTTTCTTGCCCCATGTCTCTACGTTCTTGTTGAACTTCGCTGGATCTACCAATGTTTGCTGTGATATACTGCTCTTGGATTCCTGGAATTTCTTCTCTCTCAACAAAGCTCTGACTTCTTTGAATGGCACTGCTTTTACTTAACAGACTTTTATTTTGGTTTTGCTGTACAAAACTTTTTGGCCTAGTCTGTTGAGTCAAACGTTTACTTTCTGTGGTTGACATCACCATACTTTGGCTTAAAGGACTCCTTAGGTTGTCTTGACCTCCTGACCCTATATCAGATACACTATTTCCTTGGTATTGGGAGGTATAACCCAAGTTTTGTGTATCTGCAGCATATTTGCTTTTTGGCACACTTTTAGCCCGGGAAACAGTGCTCTTTTTAACAATACTCTTTAAGGGTCTATTATTCGAGGTTTTACCTTGTACATCATTTGTAAATGTGTAGTCAGTGCCCACATTATGTTTCCTATTTACAAGACTTTTATTTGTTGGATAATCCAAAGATTGGTTTGCATCACTTTGGTAGGTGTTTTGTTGTTGGTTATCTGTATCCAAAGCTTCAGTGTATGTGTGTATATAACTTGGCTTAGCATCAGCTTTGCTATTTCTCGCAACACTTTTATTTCTTTTTGTACTAATAATGGATCCTTTGATGTTTCTGTCGGCATTTTTATTTTTGGAAGCAACGCTAATTTTCCGTTTCCCTTCAATACTTTCCCCTTTCAATGGTGCCTCTGTACTGACCTTACTGTTACTAGGTTCTGAGTTAATTAAATCATTACTTGAAGTTCTATTTCTTGCTTCAACATCTGCTAATTGTGTACCTGGAATTTCCTCTTGGAAATCGTCCGTTTTGAGACTGGTAACACTTTTTTTCAAATCTTTTCTGTTTACAGATGAGTTTCGAAAAAATTGAGATGGTTCACTAGAAACTCTGTAAACATTGAAATCTTTCTGATTTTCCATAAAAGTGTTGAAGTTTGTATAGGGCTTTATACAGTTTTTGAATGAAAACATGTTATTCTTTTTCAATTTAATCCCTCCTTGTTTGTTTATACTATCCTCCAAAGGTTTCTCAGCTGTCTCTGTGGATGTCTGATGTCTGGGATACAAATTCAAGTTTCTTTTATTAGGATATATAATTTCTTTATCTTTCATAACCACAGGTAAGTAAACAAAATCAGA